ACATGCGGCAAAATTAATGCATGTTACTCATTCGTAACATGCGCCCAAATTAGCGCATATTATGGATGAAAAACATGCACCAGAATTAACGCATATTACAGATAAATAACATGCGCCTGAATTAACGCATATTACAGAAGCGTAACATGCACCAGAATTAACGCATATTACGGATGAGTAACATGCACCAGAATTAACGCATATTACAGAAGCGTAACATGCATCTAAATTAGCGCATATTACGGATGAATAACATGCACCAGAATTAATGCATATTACAGAAGTGTAACATGCGCCCAAATTACTAACGCATATTATGAATGAGTAACATGTGCCAGAATTAATGCATAATTACCCATCTGTAACATGCATCTGAATCACTGCATGTTACGGATGGGTAACATGCGTCCAATTTATCGCATGTTACAGATGAATAACATGCGTCTGAATCACCGCATGTTACATCAGAGAACATGCGTTCAAATTAGCGCATATTACATAAAAGTAACGTGCGATGATATTAACGCATGTTACATCTGGATAACATGTACAGTAATTAATGTATGTAATGTGTTCCAAAATTAACATGCCAAAATTGCGCATGTCAGGCCAGAATTAAAAATCGGGTCACGTGACATTAAATTATGGCCTATGGGTGACATAAATCGTAAGGTTATAACTTTTGATGATCACCCGAATGGGGTGGCAAACCCTTACTCTACCTTTTTATGTATAGCTCAGGGTCCTTACAAATAGAAAGAAGCTAAACATTTGATTTATCAAAAGGTATTAGTGAAAATTTTCATTTAAATAAATAATAACATTGTTTGTATATATATAATGTACTGTAATATTAATTTTACAATACATTTATTTGTATTATTTATAACATACTCATTATTAGTCTTGTAGGGATATCGTACAATAGTTAGTAAACATTAATTGTAATATTATTTTATAAACATGTACAGTATATTTAATATAGATTGTAGCAAATTATTGTAAAATATAAAATTTAATTATATAAAAATACGTAAATTTAAATTTAATTATAAAATACATTATAAAATTAATTATCTAGTGTAATATTGTCTAAAAATTAATTTCACCACATAAACTATAATCCTTCGTGTAAGATGTTAATGCTCCCTCAAAGATGATTTACACCAACTGACCGCAATCTTTCAAACATTCATGATCAATGATCACCTAATTGATCGATGAATCATTAGAGTCTACTAGATGCTAGAAAAAATATCAATGAATAGAATGATTGAAAGAGAATTACAGATGATAGTAGTAATAATAATCTTTATAACATTTGTATTTTATAAGACAAATTGCTATATTTAATGTGTAATTTATTGTAATATTACAGAAGAAATAAACAAATTAATTTTAAACCTAATAACTTTTCAGAAATAAATTTAACGGATAAAAGAACAGTGAAATTATGATAAACAATTGGGAGAATTTCGTTATGCTTGCTGTAAAATGAAATGGCAAAGTGAACTCTTCTGAATGTTATACAAATAAAAAGGACAAGAATTACAAGGATTGAGACCGTACTTAAGTTGCTGGCAATGATGAATAAAAATTTTTTAGTCCATATTAACATCATCTAATGTGGAATTTAGAAAACAAAGTAAATTTTAATGAACTTGAATTTAGTCATTTAATTTGTTTTACTTTTACTAGATGCTAAATATTATATTATAGAACAAATTAATATAGCACATTATATTCTGAAAATTCTTTATGTATATTGAAGTTAAATGAATATTTATCAACATATATCATTATTATTGCGTAAGATTTATTTTTTGAATAATTTTTTTTATTTTCATTGCTTAATATATACATACATGCCGAGTTAAAATTGATGAGACATTATGATCATTCCATGATGTGGAAGTCTTTATTACTAGTTTAATATGTGAATTTCCGATAGAAAAGAGTATAAATTAATTTATTACATTACATTAAAAAATTTATATTTATAAAATCCAGTACATTATAACTTTATTCATAATTTGTTCAATTTACGTAAATTTTATGTGCAATATTTCTTTAACAATTATTTCATTTATTTCTTGCAACCCATAAATTATTTGGAAATATTTAAAGTTGCAATATGTCACATTTATTGATTGCACAATCTAATGGATGGGAATTTTACTATATTAATTTATTTTACAACAAACTAAACTCATTTTTTAACTTAAAAAATTTCTTATCATTACAGATTATTTAAATATTTTCGAGAAACCTCCAAATGAAGTTTTTCAACACTCTATTTCGCAACATTAACGTAGAATGTATTATTTCGAAATAATGGAAATCTTCGCGTCTTGAATAATTATAATATATCTTTGACCTATTAATAAACTCTAATTTTATTATTAAATTTTATTATCACGAATCTTCAAATACATAAATAGTTTTTTTTCAAACAGTGAATTTAACGAATAATTTTTTTTTATTAAAAAACGTTTAAAACTTACTGTACGTCTGTACCTTTAAAAATATAAACTCTATTGCCTAATATTAAATATGGGTAATTTTTTTTTTACGATATTCACATTGTCTCAAATACAAAATATAAAGTGAAGGTAAATAATACGACTATTTAATTTGCGGTTAATTTTATGGGACCATTTAATTAATTGGGTAGATGTTTTGGGTCAAAAGCAGTTGTCCAAGAATATGCTTGAGAACTTGTTGTATCTAAAATATAAATCTCATTGTTTCTTCCATTTGTTGATTCCAGATATCTTAAAAAAAGAATCCATTAAATGAAATTGTGTAATGTTCAGTTTATGAATATATTAAAAGTATAAATTTCATTTTTAGTTAGCATAATTATCTTAAGTTCACTTCAATATTTGATCAATAAAATTTTTTTTTTAAAAGTTTAAAACATTTACTTCTATAACCGATAATGATACTATGAAGATAAAGCAGTTGATTTAATTAACAAATTTGAATGTTGACGCTTATAACTTACTGTATATGCCGGATTTTTATGCTTTTAAGTCGCTTATCAAGGGAATTTTAGAAATATATCTTTTTTTTACACACCATAAAATTGTTTGTCACGTGTTCAATAAATAAGACTATTGTTACCATCAGTTTTCGTCAGGCGTCAGGTGATAACAGAAAATAAAATAATGATTTACAATCAAATTAGTGGTAATTTAGTCAATTTACCGGAGCAAATCCAAATTGATGAGCAATTTTATTAAAAGTGCGTTGATATCTCAATAAAATTCTCACTACTGCCTCACTCGGCGTTCTGTAGTAACCAAAATTATATCAAACACACGAAAATAAACTCCCAATCAAAAGAATTTCCCACTAAAACAACCTTTCTCGAGAAAAAACCTTGTTTTAGGGTTTAAAGGCCTTGATTCTAAGTAAAAAAAATTACTTAACATCCTCCCTCTTACATCCATTTGGGGAGATATTTATAATGAAAAATTCAAAGGACAACTTGTCTATGGCCAAATTGACTTTCAGTTAGACAACTTACACACTTCGTCCAAGTGACAATTTGTCAAAAGGTCACTTTGTGATAAGTTGACCAACGCCAATTTGCTTACATAATCATGATTGTCCCTTGGCTAGCGCTCTAAAATAGCTCTAAACTAATATAACTAATAAAAAAATATACTAAAACAATAAAAAAAATAAAACAATGTAAAAAAATAATAAAATAAAATTCCTGTGAAACCGTTATTCGATATTTATACAGGTTAATCTAAATTTCTGAGTTGTGCAACGCATCATTCCCCTGCGCCAGATTTGCGCCTGATCTATACTTAAGTGTTTAATGTTTTTGATCGGCAAATTTGTGATTGCTAATACCAATTTTTAGTTCCCGAGTAACTAATACAAATAACTATTAGAATAGATAGATTATTAGCTTTTTTTAATAATTTCTATTTTTTCTCCCCATAATAATAGATCAATTTAATAGACTTTAGTATATAAAAGAGAATTATTTGGCCTTTTCCCTAATAAAATTTTTTTATATTGATTTTTTTCTCCCGATCATAATAATTCAGTGTAATAAGGATAAAGATTTTTTATCGTTTTTTCTCCTAATATCAATAAAACTATTTATAATAAATTTGAAAATATTCTACAGTACTGTAACATCTACTTTATACAATAAATAAAATTTATATTAAATTCTTATCAATATAATAAATTATTAATATATTTCTTCAGACCAAAAACATTGTATATAATGAAATCTTTCAAAATATTTAAACATGCTATAATAATACTACATTTTTCAAATATACAAAAAAAAAGTTTATCTCACACAAAAAAAAATTTTTTTGCCATCATATACAAAAAAAAAAAATTCTAGCAAATGAAAAGAGACGTTTTCTAAGCTCTAAGAACTCCATCTTAGCCTTTTTTTATCACCTTTTTTAAATTATTAAATTTATTTTTTATTTTATTATCATTTATTTACACTCCTTTAGATTTCTAATTATGAACAAGAATAAAACTTGAAGTTTTTAAACATATATCATAATTTTCTTTTCATTATTCATTACTACATTAATATAAAACAACTTACTAATCCCGGTGCAAAGCAACGGGCTACTGCTAGTTCTATAATAAAAATATACTAAATAAAATAACTGATCACTAATAATGTATTAGTGCGCAATGATCATCCAATAATCAAAGTTTCGCAATACTATCAAATCATTGTGTAATGAAGGAACATAAAATAAATAAATAAATAAAAGAACATCGTACAAGCAGCGCGGACTAATGCTCCGGACTCCGGTTGATCACTGATTTAAGGTTGGACCCCGAAAATACATAAAAAGGTCCATTGTATTTTTCAGGGTCTTGTTATGTAACTATATAAATTTACACAAATCCATAAATAGATTTTTATTTTTTTATGACTTCCGCCGTCAAGAATTTTATTGATTATTTCATCCACTATTTCTAACAATAAAAATAATAACAAAATGCAAAATAACGAAGATATTGATGAATGGATTAATTGGATTGAGGAAGCTATTATTAAGAAACATATTAAAAATTATGAATATGAAAATTTTAAAAATATTAAAGAAATTGGTTCCGGAGCATTCGGAAAGGTTTTTCGTGCAAATTGGAAAAATTTTGATAATTATTTAGTGTTAAAATCTTTTTTTAATCTTAACAGCATTACTTTAAAAGAAATTGTTAATGAGGTAATTTTATTATTAAAAAGTTTGTTTTCATAAAAAATATTTTAATTTTTGCGTATTCTTTTAATATTTAATTATTGTAACGTTCATAATTTAGCTTAAACTTCAAAGAGAAGTAGATTTTCATAGTAATATTATTCGCTTTTATGGAATTGCAAGAATTGAGTCAGGTATTTAAATATCAAGTATAATATCTAAAATTTAAGTAATTATTATTTTTTTAAAAAAAAAACTTATTTCTTTTTTTTTACGTTAGAAAACATAATTCACCAAACAAAAAATTATTTGTTGGTAATGGAATACGCTGACGGTGGTACTCTTCGTGATTATTTGAACAAAAATTTCAATAGACTTGATTGGAATAATAAATTTAATTTGGCATATCAGTTAGCTTGTTCCGTATTATGTCTACATGATGAAGGGATCATTCACCGTGACTTGGTAATTTTTTTTAATAAAGTAATCAAAATATTTTACGAATTAAATTAATATCTTTTATATATTATAAATTATAATAGCATTCCTGTAATGTGTTGGTTCATCAAAATTCTATCAAGTTGGCGGACTTTGGATTATCAAAAAGGATTGATGAAGCATCGAATTCACAATCAAGACTACGTGGTATGACTCCCTATATTGATCCAAAAGCATTAATGAATGGTAATGATTCAAAATTAAATGAGAAGAGCGATGTATATAGTATTGGCGTTTTATTATGGGAAATATCAAGTGGGAAACCACCATTTCATGAAGAGAAAAATAATATTGGTTTAAGCTATGACATTTCACGGGGCCGAAGAGAAGAAATTATTCCTGATACTCCTAATGATTATTCAAATCTTTATACTGGTAAATATGATTTCAATGTATTGTTTGTTTTACTTAATAAAGTCATTATTTTAATCAAATACTTTAATTATTAGAATGTTGGAATAATGAACCAAGTAAACGACCAACTATATATGAGGTTGGTAATAGATTAAGAGTATTTATTCCAAATTCAAATAGCACGACGATTGATCAACAGAATGATATTTCCAACCAAACTTATTTTACGCCAAATGAGAATTTAACTCCAAATAGTGTAGGAAATTCAGTGCATGGAGATCTATCCAAAGTGATCCAAAATTTTACTAATCTGAATACAAGTGAAATAGAAATGTCTACAAACGAACAAATTAATGAAAATATTTCGTCTGAGAATCATTTTAGCATTATGATTAACGAAATAGTTGATCTTATTTTTAAGGGTGTTAATAAAAACGAGATAGATAAGGTAAAACAGCATGTTCTTGATTATTTTAATAGTCATAATGTAAATTCAAAAGTAATTTATAATTGGTTATTAAATAATCAAAATACTTCAGATTCTATTTTTTTACTTGGATATTTTAATTGTTATGGAATTGGATCAACCAAAGATAATGAGGAAGCATTCAGTTTATTTATTAATGCACTGGAGCAGGATCATATATTGGCACAATATTTTGCTGGAAAATGTTATGAATTTGGAAAAGGAATTATAAAAAATGAAAAGTTGGCATTTGAATATTATGAAAAAGTAGCTAATAAAAATTATGCAGTAGGACAATTTAAATTAGGTTGGTTTTATGATAATGGAATAAGTGTCAAAAAAGATTTAAAAATGGCCGTATATTGGTATGAAAAAGCTGTAAATAATGGACATTTGATATCTATGTGTAATCTTGGAAATTTATATAGAAATGGAAATGGAGTTGAGAAAGATGATAAAAAAGCTATTGAATTATTTAAAATATCAGCTGAAGGAGGATATTTAGGTGGAATAATGATGTTGGGATATTGTTATGATTTTGGAATTGGAATAAATATTGATGAGCAAAAGGCAGTTGAATTATATCAGAAGGCTGCAAATTTAGGACATAATAAGGCTCAATATAATCTTGCAAGTAAGTATAAATATGGAAGAGGAATTGAAAAAGATTTAGATAAAGCAATTTATTGGTATGAACAATCAGCTAAACAAGGACATCAAAAAGCTCAAAATAAATTAAAAGAACTTAGAACAATTAGAAAAAATTAATGTAAATTAGTTAAAAAATAATTCCATTTATTTGTAAATTTTACCATTATACAAGAACATAGATTTAAACACCAGAATTTATTAAATTATTTATGTAGAATTAGATTTATATTAATTTTAATTTGATTATAATAAATAAGTATCCTTGTTAGACGTTTAAATATATTGTACTTTACTAAAAAAAATAAATGATATACATAGTCTAAATTAAATATGTATAATGATCTCCTGAATTATTTTATGAAATATTTTAATTACTTTAACTAAGGTCAACTAAGTACTATCAAGCCTTTATTATTTATTTTTTTTTAAAAAAAAAATTTTCTTCCATAATATTCACATTGTCTTAAACACAAAATTTAAAATAATATTACTCAAAATCTAAAGTTTTTACTTTGTATAATTGTAGAGTTGTTTCAATGTCAGTTAATCCTGTAGGTCCATCTTTATAAGTTGGGTTTTGTAGATTTTTTTGAGTCGCTGAAAATATTCTTAAGAATTTGATGTGATATAAATCTGCGAGCGTATTTTTGATTTTCTAGTACATACTGTATATGTTACAGTCAAACCTTTATATAACGATATGTTGGGACATATATGAAATTTTTAGAAAATATCGTTATATCAAAGTTATACCGATATTTATGTCCTCACATATAGTGGGAAAATAAAATTTTATCAGTATATCAAGTTTTGAATATCGGTAAATCGGGTTAGACTGTATATGTCTATATTATTTCGGAATTACATATATTGAATTGAATATAAAAATTCTATGTACTGTATTTAAAAAAGAAATTATATATAAATAATAATTTATTCTCGTACATAATTTAATTTAGAAGAGTTTAAATTACATTACATTAAAAATGACTTTATCATCAACTAAATTATTTAAACAATGAGTTATAATTAGTACTAACTTGTTTTTAAAATATTACTATACAGCTTTATTCTCACTTTCGAATATACTCATTTTTTAAAATGATTGTATGGTCCGGTGCGAAAAGATTTGTACCTCACCAAAAAAGGGATGGATTTACGCCAATAAAAATATCGTACGACTTAAATAAGGTGGGCTGATATTCAAGAATTTGTTAGAACATATCCAAACACACATTCTCTCAAAAATTTTTTTCCATACCATATATTCTCATTTCCTGAAACGAAATGGTGCACCATTAACAGATAACGAAAAATCAATGATAATTAACATTCACAACTATCTTTTGGGGGATAGCTCTACAAGTAATGATCATCATAAGCTAACATTACGCAAGCATATTGCTGAGATATTGGGTGTAGCTGAGGGTACAGTTGGAAGTGTGGTGTCGGACTGGTACAACCGCAGTGATGATACTTTTACACCACATAAAGTCCTCGGAAGACCTAAATTTCAACCCGATGAAAATGTTTCAGAACTTTTGCGTACAAAAATTTTGGATGCCAACAAAAAGGCTGAGCAACTTTCCACAGTTATCCTACGACAGTATCTTCTAGAACAAGGATATAATTTTTCTAAATGGAAGCTTCTTCGAGTATTACATCGCTTGGGTTATTATTTTGGCCAGGAAGAACGTAGAAACATTCTCCATGAGTCACCAAATAATGTTGCATACCGTTGCCGTTATCTTCGATTTCGTTTTGCTAATTTAGAAGGAAAAAATGATGTTCCACGTCATCCAGAAGTCTTTCTTGATGAGTCTTACTGTCATTTACATCATACTTCACGCAATACATGGGTTCCCCATCAAGGTGTTGTTTTAGCACCTGGACATGGTCCATTAGTAGTAATTTTTGGAGCAATTATTGTATTCCGAAATGGATCTTCCAACAAACTACATGGTGAACTTGTTCCCAACTCTGTTCACATTTGGGACCCAACAATTAAACCTCCTGGAAACCGGGGACGAAAAAGAAACAATGCTGATGAATGGGATAACATTCCCGATGTTGTCAAAGATGCAAATATTATGCCAAATCAAGTAGATTATCATGGAAATTTTAATGCAGAAATTTTTGAAGACCTTTTTTCAACTCTTTGTAAAGCACTTTATGAAAAATATGGACCTGTAAATATTCATATGGATGGAGCAAGTTATCATAAACGGCGGGTTGAAAATATTCCAACTTCAAATACAAAAAAGCAGGAAATAATTGATTGGCTAAATGCTCACAATATTGTTTTTTCTGATGAATTAAGAAGACCAGAACTTTTGGAGCTGGTTCAAATGAACAAAGAAAAGGTGACATTTGCTTGTGTTAAAATTGCAAAACAGTATGAACATGAAGTTTCATTTACCCCTCCATATCATTGTGAACTTCAGCCAATTGAAGGTATTTGGTCAGTTGTGAAGGGTGAAGTTGCACATTCAGGCCCACATCCAAACCTTTTATCTGTTCGAAATACACTTTTAAATGCTTTTAAAAAAAAAATTACATCACAGGTAATCATTGGGTTCTGGAGAAGAGCACTTAAAAATGCTAAGGAATACTTAGAATTTGACGATAACGCACAATTAATGGATGAAGATTTTGACGAATATGATAATTCTGATGAAGATTGCGTTATTTAATCTAATATTCATATTTTGATTTTTCCAACATGTTATTGATATAATTAAATAAAAAAAAAAATTTACATAATAAAAAATTTTTTTTTCGGTCCTCTGTTTGAGGTACAAATCTTTTTGCACCGGACCATAGTTAATTAGAATAAATTTTCATTATAAATAACGGGTAAGCATTCATTTTTTTAATAAACAAATATTGTTATGTAAGATTAGTAATTATCTTAATTAAGAAACATGTTCCTTTCTTACGATAAACATTTAAAAGGTAAATTATATTGCTGTATACTATTTTTAGGATTGTTTAGTTATCTGTTATAGTCTGAAAAATAGTAATTCTAAATATAACATAAATTAGGAATTTAAATCTGCATATTTTATTAGACATAGTACATATAAATTGTCACCGATTACAATAAGTACTTCAGTAAATGCCCACGAAGCAGGAGAAGACTAGATGATATAGGGATTCTAGAATTGATATGAACGATGAACAGGATAAAAGCTTGAATCGTACAAACATTTGAAGATTTCTGGACAGTCATCTGATGGTGAATTGGAAATTAAATGATCACTGATGAATTCGAATCAAGTTGACATGTCAAATAGTAAGGCAGAGTTAGTTTCTAAGTTACTATTTAATAGTTTATATAATAAAAATTGGTAAGAAAAGTAAAAAGGGTAGAAGGGAAAAGGAAGTGGAGGTCAAAAGTAGGGGAGAAAAGCTTTGTAAGGCGATCGTTACCATTAGCTTTTTTACGTAAAATTAGTATGATGGAAAGGTTGGTCCGCTTCTGATCTTACTTATGGGAGATAATTAATCAATTAATATAAAAATGATATAATCTTTATAGTAATTAATTAAAAGTTGACAGTCAAACGTTTAGATAAATCATTAGCAAAAAATTTTTCTCATTGTTAGTTTTGTATATCGGGATAAGTTCAATTTAATAAATTCAAAAAATTGTTTAAAGATAAAAGTAAAAATATAATTCATTATTTTATTTACCATATAAGAAATTTAATTTTATTTCCAAAAAAATATTTCTCAGATTTTAAGATTTACAACTTGTTAGATTGAATTATTTATTACCTAAAAAATAAAATATATGGTAAAAATATATTAGAAGACTCGAGTACTCTAAGTAAGCTTTGCAGAAAAGACAGATTCAAGCCCCCACGCCTACTATCAACTGACGTTAACGATATATCGTGAGTGATCAAACTCGTGCAGAGGTACTGTCACATTGATAATAAGACGTGAGACCCACCACCAAAGGGAAGGGCCCCACATACAGAAGTCTGCGACATAGCTTGAGAAATTATTTCTGTTGTTTTCTCATTTAAGGTAACCAAACTTCTAGAAGAGGAGGATAACCGAAACACTCTAGGTGCACAAATCCCTTATACATCCCAGCTTAGTCATTTCCACTTACCAAAATAACAAAAAAAGCCCAATAACTTTATCTTTATTGACATTTAAGTAGAAACCTTCCAAGACTTTTGTATAAAGGATAAGAACGAAAGTTATGTATTAAATATAAGTTCAAGAAAAGAAAATGATAGAGTATTAAATATATCAAAACACGCTATAGATAACGCGTAAATATTTAACAAGAGTTGGTGGAGGGCGGTTGTTTAAAGGTGCTAGAAAAATGTTGGTGTTTGTATATTAAAGAAAAAAATGAATGTTAAAGAAATAAAGAAATAGCAAATATTTAAATAATATTTAAAGATAATAAAAAATAGTAAAAGGAGAAAAAAAACTTTCAAAACTAAAACTTTTAGAAAACTGAGAGAATAAACTTTCGAAACTAAAAAGTCCATGAGGAAAAAAAGCGTTTTTATAGATAATTTTACTGTGAATCATTGTGATTAGTATGATGATATGATGTAATATTATTTTACGCGCCATATCCATTACGCGTATGTTGATAATGTTATTTAAGTCAATCCCAGCTTATATAATCCCTGAGTTTCTGTGATATGTTGAAGAGTTTAAAAACTTTACAAATAAGGTATGATAAACTTATTTAGTAAAATATTTTTTAGGTTCAAAAATATCGAATTTAATAAGCACAGTAAAGTTTTGAACAAAGACTACAATTTAAAATCTGTTTAACGTTGGTTTTTACGTTAAAATATTTTGAATAGATTATTATTTTTCTTCGCTGGTAGAATAATATTTTTTTTTATAACTAAATTAGTGAAAATTACGGGTTTAAAATATAATAACCAGTTTTTTAAATTATATATTTATTTTATTTTGTAATTTTTGGTTAAATAAATTATTAAAATTTAAGCAAATACAGAACATGAAAGATTTTAAAATGTGAAATATCTTAAATAACGTATTTATTTACAGATTTTATACATAGATAAATGCAAGTATTTTATTTATCTTTATTATCAAACAATATACAAAAAATGCAAACTCATAAAAATTAAATAAAACCAATTTTACTAATTATTTCAAAACTTAATTTTGAGCGATCCAGAACACATCAAACCCCCCTATATACCGATACAGCTGTTTTTGGAAAAAAATATACAAGTTCCTTTGAAGTACAGTACGACACAGTACCAAACCTTCTATTTCTATTTAATTTTACGATGATTGCTTTTGTGTGAGTTGAGTAGAAATCAAATCAAGATGAACTAAAAAATGATTTTTTGAAGTTCACATCATATCGATCTTATAAATTAGTATTTGGGGATATTTTAGATAATTTTCAACACAAAGAACATATCATGTTTTATAAAAATACTGTATCTTTATTATAAATTTAAATTTCAATTATTAGAAATTATTATGTAATAAAATTCAATAATTGAATTTTATATTACCAATATTATCTAATTTAATAGTTAAATCATAATAATTCTTAATTTTAACAAATGATTGAATTTCTTTAAATAAAAATTCCAAATTATTTCGAAATTTAGAATCATTTCTAATAGAATAGGATAAATAATTCAAATTCTTATTCTTAATAAAATCTTTTATAACATTTAAAGTAACATCTAAATTATGAGAACTTCTATTTCTAATTAATAATCTTTTAAGATCAATTTGATCACAATTATCGAAAAGTAATTTTAAATCATCAGGATTAACCACAAGATTTAAATCTAAATAACATAAATTAGGAGGTAAAGAATCACATAATAATTTTAAAATCATTGAACTAATTTTCAATACATTAACATCATCATAAAAAATAACATTATAAGAAAAATGTTTATAATGATAAAATTAACTTCTAGGGTAAGAAATTTAAAAGTATTATTAAAATTGGAAATCATTTTAGATAATTTAGGAATAACATTAAAATCAGTATGACATAAATGTAAGAAATTGAATTCTTTCACAATAATTAATAATGGCATCAAATAAATGTTTTTTAAAATGGTATAAATAAATCCAATATCAAAAATCAAATTTTTTAATATAATAACCAACTTTTTGAACGAATAATTCGATTTCGATACTTTTTCTAACCTGAATATTTTTAATGACCAAAGTTTTGATCTTCAATGGTGTTTTAATTTTAAGTAAAGTTCGAAAAATATTTGAATCCAAATCGCAATCTTTAAATTGAAGAGATTCAAGTTGAGTAGGATGAGAAAGTGCATCATAACTCAAATCAAATGGAATATCTGAGCCAAAATTTAATGATGTTATTGATGAATTTTTAAAGAATCCAAGAATGAATGACTTAATATATCATAAGAAAATCGAAGAAAGTTGTGACTGTGATTTAATTAAATCTGTAATAATAAATTTTTCTTCTCTATCTTGATCCTAAAAGAAAAAATTCAATATATTTAATATAGTTGATGGAAGATAAGACAAAAATTGTTTAATTATAGAGAATTATTTGTTATAATTAAATAAATGAAAAGTAAATTCTTCAATATTTGATATGAACGTTGGATTATTTAAATTTAAAATCAACTCATAAATAGAATTAAAAAGTTGTTCATTATAAAATGCAAACGTTATATGTAGTTTGTTTAAAATGACATTATTTCTACAAAAAGGTTGTTGCCTTGACCAATCTGATTTCTTTATTAGATTCATCTTGTAATGTAATTAATTGATTATAAGCTTTTTCATTTGAAGTTCCTTGTAGTGTTGAGCCAATTTATAACATGTAATTCCATTCTGAAAGTATATAAGGTTTTTATTAAAGTATGATAATTAAATAAAGGTTTATATGAACTTATTATATCTGACTTGTGAAATTTAATTTTATTAATTTTATCTCTGTCATTTTCATTTAAAAATGAAAAATATGTGTCAATGAAATGATGTGATAAATTATTTCGATATTTAACAGAAAAAGGATCTTTCCAAAGTAAAGGTATCGCGAGAAAACAACAATTTCTATTTATCAAAATAGAAGAATGAAGTGATTTTATGATATTTTGCATCACTTCTGGTATATCACCAGAAAATGTTTTTGAACATGCCATTTGTTTTAAAAGAGAAAAAGAGAAATGAAAGGAGAAGTGCTCTATATTGATCAAAACCTATCATACTTTACATCATGTGGCTTATATATACATATTATTGGATGGGGGAGTAGCTATATCGGTCACAGGGCCCTTCATTGATTGGTGAAAATGGCCACTACGTGGCCCATTTTCATCCAATCATTCGGTCCTGTGACCGATATAGCCCCACAAAAGTGTTATCGTTCTGACGTTTTTGATCATGCATTAATTAATAACATCATAAATAAGCTTTCTATAAATTTCATTTTTATAAGCTTTATTTAAACTTTTCCTACAGAATATTCATTTACGTCATTTTTTTACTCCACTTTATTATATCAATATTGTGTTATTGCTATGGCTAATAAAAATATCGGTCTATGAAAATCTGCATGATCCTATTTGGCTGAACGATAACGTATAATCTAGTTTACGGAGCATTTTTTAAAATGAATATATAGTATCATTATGTCATTATGTCATATCTACAATAATAAAATTATAAACAGTACTCTACATTTCAAGCACCGTTATGAGTTCTAGCCAATTTTGTTAATTGCTTCTGCTATAGATATATGGCGCTTATTGACACAGCTTTTTTTTTAATATCGACTAATTTACTCACTAAATACACAGTGGGATTCGATATGCTGGAACCATCCATTCCAGTAAAAATTTCTGGTAATTGGTATATGGATATAAAATCACGTGAAATTCCGTTATATCAAGCTTTTTGTTTGTGCGACAGAAGTTCCTCTTGAATGAAGTTAATATATAAATCAGTTATTTTCTTTTATTTAGATATAATAAGAATAATAGATAGCGTGATATGTCAATGATTAGTGAAAAGAACAAAAGAGTATTATACACGCCCAACATCTTGCTTAAACTATAAACGTTAAAAATTGTAGCGTTTTCATAATAAATTATCATGTGACCAATAATTGATTGGCCTATTTTTATGTTAATCACCTGACTGTTATTACAATTACGCCAATAAAGATAAAATGAAAATTAGTTTCTGAATGACAAAAGGTTGAATTTAGCATTGCGAATGAGGGTAATTACGTCATAGTATTTCATTTTTGCATCATTTAGAAATTTCATAGATAATAGAATATAACATATAACTATTCCAATTTGAACGATTAATCATTCCGTTTCGTTATTTACTGATAATAGAATCTAACACTTATTCCAATTTGAGAAATTAATCATTTGATTAAATACCTAATTCGCATACTGTTTCATCATTTAGAAATTTTCATAGATAATAGAATAGGACGATTAATTATTCCAATTTGAGCGATTAATCATTTGATTAGATTCCCAATTCAGCATTCAATGGGATCATTTGTTTAGATATTTATACTCCCGTCTTATTCATTTTGTGTTAATCAAAAGTGAATTTTCATTCTTGAATTTCCTCGCACATACTATATATTATCGTTAAAGCTAATATTTTCCGGTGCAAGTATAGTTTACCACTAATTTACCGTATACGTTCTATAATACAGCGAAATGACTAGAGTAAGTTATCTTTTTTTCGTTATTACTTTCCAAGAGTTAATATTGAGCTAATTGTATAACAAATCCTCTAGTGCCGTATTTGTTGTGGTAATGGGAGGGTCTGCTGTGGAATTTGTGGTGGCGCTGGAGGTGCTATCCAACCTGTCATAAATGGGTTACAATTGAGATTAGTTTGCTCACGATGTGCGGGAACTGGTTCTGTGATTTGCTTATATTGTAATGGGCTTGGTTATAAAATCCAATGATAATTGTGTTGATAACTTTCACCCAGTGTTTTTCCAAAGTCTTTTTATTTAATTTATTATAATTTTCATACAATTTTTACCATTTGATATTCGATAAAGTCTATTGAAATCCAAGTGTGTCTAAATTTAAAGCTTTTGTTCTTTATTGAATGTTGTCATCGTTTAATAAATAATTTTTTATCCTTTGGAATAATAAAATCAAATTAAGTAATTATTCATAAATAAAATAATCACTAGAATGAGAAAATTATATCCATAACTTAAAATTGAGGGTAATTATTAATGAAGAACACTCTCAGGAGGTAGTTCAACATCATCATTAATGAGTAATGGTTCCCCTATGCTTTGGTCCATCAAGTGATTCAATAAAGGACTGGTTGATTTTTATGTACACGAACTTCTCCAATATCAAATAATTCATGACTTCAGTTCATATCGTACCTCTTCGTTTAGGCCCACCTTTAAGTTCCACATGTTCAAGTAAATAAACGTGACTCATCAAGTCTATTGTATTTACAAGAGGATTTGGAATAAACTTTCTTATTTTTTATCGCTTCTGCAGAGGGTCATACCTATTAATCTTGTAACAGAATTATTAAATTTTTCATCATCTAGTACACAAAGATATTTAATCCAAGTTCTGCACTGTTCGCTAGGAGCAAGCCTAGCTTCAACTGCTTCACGCGTAAGAAAAGTGTTTTTCTGCAATCAAGTGATCACGTTCAATAATGCTCACCTTACGTTTAGAATTAGCAATACTGTATTTTTACACCATGTTTAGTCAATAATTCTTTACACTTAGCTACATACTCTTTTCCCCTATCATGAGTGGACAATCTGGATCATCATATAAAGTCTCAAAATGCCTTAGCGGTATGTGTGGATAACTTATCAGTCAAAGCAAGACTACGGTGATAGCGTGAAGCTATATCTTTTACAGCAAACGATACTTAAATATTCATCTCATATAATTGTCAGAAGGCATAGGCATATTAAATGTCAGACATATTAACTTCATTAGGAATAGCAGTAAAGGAGGCATATGAAATGTACTTAGGATGAGGTGCATTCACTTGCCATACTACCTGTCTATGTAAAAAATCATGTACATCATCAGATAAGTCAAAATTATAACCTTGTTTTTTCACTTCCTCATGAAATTTCTCTACTGACCGATAATACCACCTAGGTGTATAATAAAGTTCCCTTAGGGTTAACAAAAGATAAAGATGGGTGTAACGGGTGCATATCGCAGAAATTAAGAATTGTGGAAAAATTAGTACCAGAGCTGATTAACAATATTACTAATAAAGAAAAATCCGCAAACTTGTAAATGATCTAGAATGCTGTGAGCGATATATTTCATACCTTGAAAAAAAATGTTGTATCACGTGAGGACGAAATAGAAAGATTAAAGGCAGAGCTTGAAAAATGCAGAGATCATTTGGAATTAAAGGAGGAAGCATTGGTTGTCCAAGATAAATCGAATCATTCAGTTGGAAGATACAGTAGGAAAGTTTAGGACTGATATCAAAAAATCTCCATATAAAATATTCCTATAGATAACGATCTTAACCTTGACAGCTTTAACAGCCTTAATAGCTCATGCAATCCAGATCCAATACAACGCATTATAAATAATTATTTACCAGCAATTGCTGATAGACTACTACAATTCGCCAGCTTATAGAAGGAAGAGTGCCTTTAACTCAAACTAATCTTGACATACTTTGTGATGATACTAACCATTTTTTAGACTTGATTCGTCAGGATGCAACATCATTGCAAAATTCCACTTTGGATCTTAGAACTTTAAAACGTCAGAATCTTGCTAATATTGCGACAGAGCGTGATCAATACCAGAATCTACTGAATAAAGAAAATAGGTAGTGGAAGATCTTAGACATCAGCTGAATGAAGCCCGAGCTCAGGCATTAAGAACAGATCGGATGATAAAGAGATGAATGAAATGCTCGCAGAGAGTACTGGGAAATTGCTGAAAATAGGAAAAGGCGAATTAATGATTTATTAATGCAAAATTTTGCATTACAATTACTTAATCAACGAAAAAATTGGCAAATTACAGTCTATAGGAGAAATATTCGCAGATGGACTGTAAGATATAATCATGATACTGAAAGATGGAAGAGATGTCATACTGGTTGTATTCGTTAAGCTCAAAACTGGAGGTAACAATTCCGAGCCTCACAAACTCAAAATAACAATTTACAACAGCAAATTAATAATTTACAACAAAAAATTTTAATCTTACAAAATAATGGACTTTTAAATCAACAACCAGGAATGGCATGGTATCCACCGCCTAGATTTAGTGACTCAGCACATGAAGACGTAGACAATTTCATTAAAGATTTCAGATTATATGTCACAGCCTCTGGAATGACAACTAACAATGCTGCTGGAAAACAGAGAGTTTTAGCATTTTTCGAATTATGTTTAACCGGAAAGGCTGCAGATTGGTACGAACAAAAACTAAAGAACAAAAAGGGGAAATTAACCCATATTAGATGTGGAATGCCTTAGCAATATTGCTGCTGAAATAGCTTTGAATAATGCAAATATAATTGCTGCTCATATAGCTGCGCCAGATGGCTCCTACCGTAATAGGAGCAACTATTATTCTGGTACATGATGTTCATACGGATGAGGACTGGTTTTATGCTGCAGGTGGTGAACATAATGTACCTAATGGTGTCATAAATAACAACATTGCAATGGAGAGGTATTTCCTCCTATATGTAAGGCTAATTATCATTTATCACCTCTATCTAGTAGCACGATTTAAACGCGTACATAATAATAAGGAGAAATGCGTTGCTATTGCCTATTTGAGCGTGAAGAAAAAATTGTTAAAATAAACGTTTCTGAACTTTTTAATTAATATTTTTGTGCTATTTTTTTTGTCCAAGATAAATGTTACACAAACTAATAACATTCGCTAAAATTTTAATCGTACACCCCTGGTTCAATCATTGATATTTTATTTTACAATAATTTTCATTGTGAAATGATGCATAACTGCGTCATATGTTTGATTTATTTTTTAAGATAAGAAATCATATATAAAAGCAAAAAAACGTATTTATCTATAAATTGATAACGGGGGAAAATTAACCGGCAAGGAATTAATGTTAATGCTGGTTATGGTTTGACTTGGAATTATGTAATTCTGGCCACCGGTTAATTTTCTTCCCGGTTAAATATAGTTATTTTATGAAAATTAATAATTTATTAATAAATAATATGCACGAACCAAAATAAATTACAAGATTTTACAGTCATCACGCCTAACTTTTGAGAGTTGATATAATTTATTATGTGCATCTTCATGTCCTTGGTCAGCAGATTTTCTATACCAATAAGTTGCTTTATCAAAATCTTTTGTGGTTCCGTATCCATTTTTATACATAAAAGCAAGATTATATTGAGCTTGACTATCCCCTAATTCTGCTGCTTTGTGGTATAGTTCGAATGCTCTACACTTATCAATTTTGGTTCCAATTCCACATTCATAACAACGTCCTAATATAACAATTCCACCCAAATATTCTTCAGATGATCTTTTAAATAATTTGAAAGCTTTAACATGATCTTTATTAACACCATCTCCATTTAAATATAAAAGGCCAAGATTGTATATCGCTAATATATTTCCGTTATCTGCAGCTTTTTGATACCAATGAGCAGCCAATTTTAAATCTTTTATAATACCTACTCCCATACAATAACAATAACCTACATTTGATTGTCCCGCTGCATAATCTTTATTTGCTACTTCGTCAAAATAACCAAAAGCTAATTTTTCATTTTTTGTAATTCCATACCCGTTGTGGTAACATATTCCAACGTAATAATTTGCTAATACATATGATTTTGATTGTCCTGATTCGCTATTATTTGATTTATTAGATGCATATTTAAATAATTTAAATGCCTTTTCATAATTCTTACTTGTCTCGACTCCCATATAATAAAAATATCCAAGCAAAACCATGGAATCTACGTCATTCTGATTATCTAGTAATTGTTTGTAAATTTTCAGTGTATCAATTTCATTTTTATTAAAATAATCAATAATGTTCTGCTTTATTTAGGTTAGTTCCTTTTTTTCTGTTATTGTAAAAACAAAATCTAATATCTCTTTAATTATTATATTCGGATCCTCTTCTTCGAGTAAAACACTTGTCTTTTTATTGGATGATTTTAAAGCTCCTGTAGTTATTTCATCAAAAATTTGAGATAATTCACCTCCAACTAATGAATTGTTAATACTTATATGAGTACTTGAACTAAATGTTGGTTCATAAATAATTTTTGCATTTTCTGACGTATTAATAATTTTTTTCAATCTTGCGACTACGTCATTAATAGTTGGGCGGTTATCTGGTTCACTATTCCAACATTCTAAATAAAAAAAAGTAACTATTAGATAGAATGTCGTTGATAACGGGTTGACCACTAGTATAAATCATTAAAATTATATTTACCAACATAAAGCTCAACATAATTACCAGGTGTACCTGGAACAATGGTTTCTCTGAGACCCTGTGCAATTCGTGCGGCTAAATCACAATTATATTGTTCATTTTCGAAAGGTGGTCTACCACTTGTTATCTCCCAGAAAAGCACACCAATACTATAAACGTCACTTTTTTTATTTAACGAATATGGTTGCTGTCCGGCGAATCCTTTTGGATCAATATAAGGAATAACGCCAAATAATTTTGATTGAGAGTTGGATATTTCTTTAATTCTTTTTGATAATCCAAAATCAGATACCTTAATAGCATTCTGATGAATTAACACGTTTCCAGAATGCTATGAGATGATATAAATTATATAAGTTATTTGACACAAATAAATCTTTCGAATTATTAAATTATAATGAATTACCAAGTCGCGATGTATAATTCCTTCATTATGTAGACATAATGTTGCACAAGCCAATTGATATGCCAAGTTACATTTGTCATTCCAAGTAAGTTTACTGAAGTTTGTTTTCAAATAGTTTTGTAGGGACCCGCTATCAGCATATTCCATTACCAATAAGTACTTCATTATTTGATCATTTGTATTTTCTAAACATTTGTTTTTTTTTAAAAAAAAGTTATTTAGTGTTGTATTTACGGACAACTGCAATTGTTTAAACATAAACGTCGAGAACATCCAGATATATAAAAAGTGTGATATAGTATGGTATAAGTTGTGTCTTTTACATACGTTCTTCGTATGGACCCAACAGCCATGAAGTACAAACAATTAAGTAACTTATTATATACCTTGATCAGCAATTGTAATTCCACAAAAACTTATAATATTGTCATGAAAAGCAACTTCACGTTGAAGGTCAAGCTAAATATAATTATAGAATAAAATTTCAGTTAAAGTTATTATAATGACATATTAAGAACAAGTGTACTTTATAGGCACCTCATGAATAAGTTCCTTAGCAGTGGTGTTATCAAGTTTAAAAAAAGATTTTAATGCTAAACATTGTTCCGAATTTTTCCAATTGGCACGATAAACTTTCCCAAAGCTGCCAGTACCAATTTCTTGAATATTTATAAAATATTTATATTCATAATGTTTAATATATTTTTTAGAAATGGCATCCTCAACCCATTCATCCCAATTATCAGTTTGATTGTTTTGAGACATGGTGAATATTTTTTTCTTTTTTTTTAAAAAAAAAAAATTAAATTAAAAGTATATACAATTTTATAGAAATACAGAAAGTTTTGTTTTACTCGAAAAAAAAAATTTCATTTTACCATAAATTTAGTCTTACAGTTACACAAAAATTATACTACTATGTATGGTACAGTTTGTAATATGTAATATTATTTAATTTATCGTTGTTATTGCCGTTTTCAGAAATGTTTACAATCAGTGTCGATCATTTCTACACCGAACACACCGTAAATTATGCGAACTTAAAAATATGATTGCATAGTTTTATATATGAAAAAAAAAAATTAAAAATTGGAAATGTGAATATTTATACCGAACACACCGAACACAAGTAAACACAAGCAAATACATGTGAATATATATGTGAATTATCTAATTTTTATACATTTTTTTATGCACACTACCTAAAAATATATTACTAAAGTTTTATTTTTTGTTTTATAAAGGAAAAAAATTTTTTTTCGCTGTGTGTTCGGTGTAGAAATGATCGACACATTGTGTCAACATTTCTGAAAATGGCAATTGTATTTTTTATTACTATAGTAAAACTTTAATACCCCTTGATTGGGAACCGGTCTACAACTCCGGTTGACAATCAATTTAAGTGCACGTTTTAAAAAATTAGCCACGTGATCGAAGATCTCTTTCTTAACTTACTCAAAATAAGAAAACAAAGACTACCAATTATAGAACAATGAAATTAATGAAGTTTCTGTATATATATATGCTGTATACATGTATTTTTTTTTCAAAAAAAAAAAAAAAAAAAAAAAAAATCTCTTTATTTAACGCATGAATAATATTTTAACGCTTTAGTAATTTAGCGCTTTCCATGTCTCGTAACATTGAAACCGACAATTTAAACGAAGTGAATGAATTGTTATTTTGGGTCGAAGAAGCGATTTCTAAAAATCATATTAAATTTTATGAATATAAACATTTTAGCAATATTCGAGAAATTGGAAATGGAAATTTTGGGAGAGTTTACCGCGCTAAATGGAAAGATTTAGATCAATACTTAGCATTAAAATATTTTTTTAGTTTTGATAAGGCTACTATTAAGGAACTTGTTCACGAGGTGGTTATAAAATTAAAATTTTTTTCGATCGTTGTAGAATTAACTATACCCGGCGCCGTTGTATATTATCGGCCGATTTACCGTTGTAACACCAATTTTATAATTAAAATTCTGCCCACGTGACCGGTGACATTTAAGGGGATGTGAAAAAAATAATTTTGGGACTAAAGTCCGTCAGATAAATAAGATAATCAGAATATTGTCATCTACTGCACGTGCATAATTTAGTATATATATTTATATTTTTTATACTTAAATATTTTTATATAATTTTATTAGCTCGAACTTCAACGTGAAGTAGCTTTTCATGACAACGTAATTAACTTTTATGGGATTACAACTCAAGATCAAGGTATTACAATAATCATATAATATGTTAACATCTTAAGTTACATATAATCCTTATCTAATAATCCTTGTTTTCAACGAAACTTTTTTATTAGAAATTGCAAGTAGTGGAATGACGAAGAATTACTTATTAGTAATGCAATACGCTGATGGTGGTTCTCTTCAAAACTATTTGAAAGGGAACTTTAAGAATCTTACTTGGGAAGATAAATACAAATTGGCATACCAATTAGCATGTGCTGTATCATGCTTGCATAGCGAAGGAATCGTGCACCTTGATCTGGTAATTTATTAATTCTTATTATTTATCATTAATATCTATAAGATTTGTTATATAACAATAAATTTTTTTTTTTTTTGAAAAAGTATTCTAGTAATATATTAATACATGAGAATAAAATCAAGCTAGCTGATTTTGGTTTATCAAGAAGAATTGAAACATTGCATAAACAGCAGCAATTAGATTTATTTGGAGTAATTCCTTATATTGACCCAATAACGTTTTTTACGAGTGGTAATGATCCAAACTCATTAAATGAAAAGAGTGATGTTTACAGTGTTGGTGTATTATTATGGGAAATTTCCAGTGGAAAACTTCCCTTTGAAGATGTTGCATATGACATTTGTTTGGCCATGCGAATTCGCGAAGGTGAAAGAGAAGCAACCATTTTTAATACTCCCATTGAATATGCTAATCTTTATAGAGGTAAATATATATTTAAACTCAATTGTTTGTTTTACGAATTTCCTAATCAAGTTTTTATATAAAGTTGGCATAATTTTTTTTTTATCTTTTAGAATGTTGGAATATTGAACCAGATAATCGACCATCTATGTTTGAAGTTGTTAAAAGGTTAAAAGCATTTATTTCACCGTCAAATATAGAAGTTGATAACTTAAAGGTAATTGAAGATATGGACATTAGAAACTCATCGCATAAAAAATCTAAAATCATTCAAGCTATTCAAAATTTTGAAAATACAAATGAAAGTACATTAAATAGTATCGATGATATTAATGAAGTTAAAAAAACATTAATTAATGTAATAGTTGAAATTATTTTTAAAGAGCTTAATGAAGAAAAAGATCAAGATATAAGAAATCAACTTATTCTTGATAATCTCAATAGTAATAAGATTACTTTACTAGAGATTTATAATTGGTTATTAAATAACCAAAATGAATCAAATTATATTTTTTTGCTTGGATATTTTAATTACCATGAAATAGGAACAGATAAAAATTATGAGAAGGCTTTTAGTTTATTTAAGAATGCTTCAGAGAAAAATCATATATTAGCACGATATTATGTAGGATTATGTTATGAATTTGGTAATGGAGTTGTAAAGAATGGTAAATTAGCCTTTGACTCTTTTAAAAAGATAGCTGATGAAGAGCATGCATTAGGGCAATTCAAACTAGGATATTTTTATTATAAGGGAATCAGTGTTAAAAAGAATTTAAAAGAAGCTTTTAATTGGTATGAAAAGGCTGCGTATAATGGAAATTTAATAGCTATGTGTAATATTGGTCTTATGTATAGGAATGGAGAAGGTACTAATAAAGATCTTGATAAAGCAATTTATTGGTATAATGAATCTGCTGATAAAGGAAATCAAGACGCTCAAAAAACTTTAAACAAACTTTTAAAAATTAAGAATAGGAAAATATGTACGGTTAGCTAATAAATTAATTTATGTTGAAAATGAATTTTTTTCAGATTTATTTTTTTATGATAAACTATCACGACTGATGTAATGAAGGACTGTTTATTTTTACGCGTATGCAATTGGTTCATCTAGTTTTACTTATGCTCCAGACTTAACAAAGGTTTTTGAAACCGTTCTCTAGTATATATATATTAGAAACGGAAACCATTATTAAGAAAATTTTTTTGTTGTACAATGTCACGTGCGAAGCAAAAATATCATTATTCTTGGTAGACATATAATTAGTCCGAAGGACTATGTTTAATTGACTGTCCAGCTTCGCATAAAATAAATAAATAAATAAATAGTCCGAAGGACTATTTACTCCTACGCTTGATGTCGTCACGTCCGCCGGATGTCCAAGAATTCCCAATTATTCTGCAATTTAACCACTAATAACGGTTTCCGCTTTCCTAGTTGAATATACCGAGAATGACATTTTTGCTGGATGGATATCCGGATATTGCATAAACGTACATACTACCTTGCGTAGAAATATATAGTCACTTCGGACTAATTAATATGGAAGGTATCTTACAAAGATACAAGCTAATATATCAGGATCGATACTTTTACGTTAATAACCTATACCTCGAATTTCGATATTTTTTTTTTTAAAATGTAAAAAAAAAAATCATTTGAAAATTTGATTTATTGTGCATATATTTAAAAATTTTATAGAATCGATAAAATGAAGTGATTTACATAAATTAGAAATGAAAAATTACAACTATTTAAAATTTGCTTTACTAAAAAATACATTAAATCGATCACGATGCATTTATTAAAAAGTATTTTTAATTTTTTTTTGGTATTTTCTTAAAAGGGAAATTATGCATTTCTCTAACCGCAATTTTGTAATCTCGCCCAATAATTTTCGATCATTAAGTTGTATTCCGCGACCACGGCCCTAATGACCACGCACGTGACCACGTCCTTTTTCTTTCCTTAATTTTCTTAAGTTTCTCTAAAGACTTTTGAGCGTCTTGATTTCCTTTTTCAGCAGATTCATTATACCAATAAATTGCTTTATCAAGATCTTTATTAGTACCTTCTCCATTCCTATACATCAAACCAAGATTACACATAGCTATTAAATTTCCATTATACGCAGCCTTTTCATACCAATTAAAAGCTTCTTTTAAATTCTTTTTAGCGATTATCCCTTTATAATAAAAATACCCTACTTTGAATTGTCCTAATGCGTGATTTTTATTAGCTATTTTTTTAAAATATTCAAAAGCAGACTTCTCATTCCTTACAGTTCCATTGCCAAATTCATAACATAAACCTACATAATAATATGCTAATATATGGTCTTTTTCAGAGGCAATTTTAAATAAATTAAAAGCTTCTTTTTTATTTTCACCAGTTACTATTCCATAATAGTTAAAATACCCGAGTAAAAAAATGAAATTTGGTTCATTTTGATTAATTGACAACCAATCATAAATTTTTGGTAACGTAATCTCATTATTAAGATTATTAAGAATATGTTTTTTTCTTGTTTCTTGATCTTTTTCTTCATCAATTTCCTTGAATATAAGGTTAACAATTTCATCAATTAATTTCTCATCAACCTTAGCGAGCGTATTTTCGTTTTGTTCCACTTCTATATTTTCCAAATCTTTGATAAGCTGAGATGTATTTTTGCGGGATGAATTCTTAATACTAATATAATCGATATTTATATTGTCGTTTGGAATTAGAAAATTCTTATTTTTAATTGTCGTATCTGATCGTGAAATTATCAACTTTAATCTCTTCACAACATCGACTATAATAGGACGATCATCTGGTTCACCATTCCAACATTCTATTAGATTAAGAATAAATATTTGTTAGATTTAAATGTATGAATCTTGAATGAACTAAAGCCTGTATCCTGTAAGCAAATTTCAATTATAATTAAATTTACCTTTATAAAGTCTAGTATACTCATCAGGGGTACCATCGATAGTTTGTTCCCTTTGGCCTTGGAAAATTTTTGTAGCTAAACAAACATCATAAAAAACATCTTTAAAAGGAATTTGTCCACTCGATATTTCCCATAGTAATACGCCAATACTGTAAACATCGCTCTTTTCATTTAATGAATATTCAATGTTCATATCAAATTTTTTTGGGTCAATATAGGGAACTATACCAAATAAACTTGATTTCTTTTTGGATGATGCCTCAATTCTTTTGGATAATCCAAAATCTGATAACTTGACTTTATTTTGATGAATTAATATATTACCGGAATGCTATTAAATAATTTAAATATGTTACTTTTTTATATAAATTACATGAATTATAGTTATTAATAAATGATTGAAATTACCAAATCACGGTGTACGATTCCTTCATCATGTAAGCATGATACCGCGCAAGCTAACTGGTATGCTAGGCTATACCTGTCATACCAAGTAAGATTATTGAAGTTCGTCCCCAAATAGCTTCGAAGAGATCCACTATCTGCATACTCCATCACCAGCATCATTTTGTCACTAGTAGAGTCTAAATCAAAAAGTGTTATTTTTACTAATTAAAAATATTATTTGGGAAATGTTTCTATACCTTTATCTAAATTTGTAACTCCATAAAATTTGATCACATTATCATGAAAGTCAACATCACGATGAAGGGCAAGCTTGGTAATTTAAGAAAAGTAAATAAAATTACGAAAAGATTTTAAGAAGAGAGAGTATTTATCGTATTTTTATATTCACCTCACGAGAAAGTTCTTCAAGAGTAGTATTATCAAGATTAATAAAAGATTTTAACGCCAAATATTGCTCCGAATTTTTATACATTGCACGAGAAACTTTTCCAAAACCACCCGTTCCAATCTCTTGTATATTGCTAAAATACTTATAATCATAACTTTTAATATGTTTTTTAGATATTGCTTCTTTAACCCAAATGAATGAGCTTTTTGTTTCGATATTAGAAGACATATTAAATCAAAGAAAAAAAAAAAAGTTTTACTGCGGTAAAGTGTTGAACAAAGGAAAAGAAATTTTTATTTTTTTTTAAACCAAATTATTTCTTTGAAACTTATTTATTATTCCCATTTCGTAATAAAACAGGTTTTTTTTTGTCAGACATCTTTGTGTTATTTCCATTTTCAGAAACAGATTAAAAAATGTTAATCATTTATTCAAATTACAATAAATTACAATATAAATTTCACACTTGAGGGCATAACAAAATAATTTGACGAAACAGAATACAACAAATATTTCTCACTTTCAATTTTATTTCTTTACAATATTTACAATATTTGAAATTCTTTAAATCGGTCAATCAAGATGATCATATATTGTTCTTTAAAAGTTGAGTTAGGTGACACTAAACGTTAATTTTAAAAAGGCTAAATGTATAGTATAATGAAATTTTTTATGGTATATAATAAATGTTACACAAATGTACTAAGAGCTCCGTACGGTGTGACTACCCTAGAAAGATGAGAAAGACGATAGTAGCTTGCTGAGTATTGCATGATGCTAAAATAGTAAAATCGATATTGAGAATAGAATGTAGAACTTAATATGTGTGATATTGACATTTTTTATACCTCAACAGTTTAATTTTTATTTTGATTGTTTTATTTTATTCTTTTTATCATAATTGTCATGTTTATTAAAATAATGCTTTATATCTGTAATCAAAGATTATTTTTCCTATTTATTACACTGCTAGCCTAATTAGAACTGATTGAATTACGAATTTTATAGTATTCTAAGCTAATAATTAAACACTAATTTTGATTTAATTCATATCTCTTCTCAAGATCAGATAATTCCATTACATATGAACTTTTGCTTCTCGTTTCCTAAGTTCACATTCTTTTAAATCCAGTTTCTTTCTCGATATTCAAACTCTGTAATAACGTTTTCACGGTTTCCCTGTTTGTTATTATTATACATAGTAATTGTTAGTCCGAACTCCGAAGTGTAACGAAGGACTATGTACTTCTACGTTTGATGACGTCATGTCCTGATGTCTGATAATTCCCAATTATTCTGCTTATTCCAGAAACTGAACCCATGTTCCTTAGATGACAGATTTTATAATTTAACAACTACTTCGGACCTAATAACGGTTTCCGTTTTCCTGCAAAACTTACTGCGTATATCATTTTAACAGGTCGATCTCACTCAGGATAGGAGATTCTTAACGTATACTTATTAATGTACTGTACAAACTATTGTATATAGGTAAAAGACCGATAATTCTGGTACTAATAAGAAGATAATTTATCAAGGGAAGAATATTTATTCGGAAATATTGAGATATAAGCTAAAAATAAATAGCAGATAATACGCGGAATCTTGAATTTTTTTTTACATTATAACCGCAGTCTCCTTTTTCATAGAAAACATGTCTAATAGTGTAAGTAATATATCTATAGATACGATATATTAAAGAAGGTAATAAAATTACATTTCTTTGTAAAAATTATACAAAATATAGTTTAATGTAAGACTTGACATAGCAAATACAAAAGAAATAAGATGGAGAAAGAGTTTGTTCAAAAAGTGAGCTGTAAATAATAAACCTACTATAAATAGATCATGTTATTGTGTTTTAAGGTCGGATTGTATTGATTTAACACATAATCACAATCTCGTTCCTTTACAATTAATAAAGTTTATGCCAGATAATCGAAATATTAAAGATAAGATACTTGGACTACCTATGGCTGGAACTACAATTTAGCTATAATAATGGTAAATCCATTAATAACACTTTGAGCCTGTTCAAAAAGAAAGATAAAATTTTGGACCTGAGATTCCCTGCAGAGTCACGTACCTACGTGAACATTCTATATGAAAACAATGGGCATAAATCATGTCTACAAATATACAATGTGAGTGTTAGGACCAGCCTAAGCAAGCATTTGGCGAAGCTAAAGTGGGTAAGTGACTCTGCAGCACCATATAGTTTTCTATGAAGTGACCATACAGATGATGGTTGTATGGTATACTTGTAGTGACAATACATACGGTAGTGACCTCGGCCACCCTGCTTATGCTCATGACCACCTTATCGCAACTACAGAATAACGGAGACTAGGTAACCTTCGTCTCAACATCCAAACGTAAGTAACTGGAATTATTGTTGCGATTTTTCCTCTTTTTTACACTCACCATTTTTTTCCACTTGTTACTTACTAAATCTGGCTAAGGGCAAGTATACTGTAACTGATACTAATTTATTTTATTTAATTCATATAATAGAAAGAAATGGTTAGGGAATGAAAAAAATTTTTTTTAATATAAATATAAAAAATGTTTAAAAAAATTTAAGAGTTAATCGGTGTATGTAATTTAGACGATTTATGGCCTATGTAATATGTAATTATTGTTTGTTGCTGACTTAGGGGGGAAGTGGAAAGGGAAAGGGAAGAATGACAGGGAAAGGGGAAAACGAAAATATGAAAAGAGGAAATACACAAACATACACAAACCCACACTCCCAAACCCACATACCTTAAGGAAGATGTAAAGAAAAGGCCTAAGAGAAGACCTAATAAAGAGAAGGCCTAATAAAGAGATAGAAGACCTAGACATAGAAAAGGTAGACTTAAAAAAAAGTCGAGATACTATATTTATACTACACTCAATTACTCATGAGTCATGACGAAACTCACATCAAGATTATGTGTTACATTTCGCGTGAGCAACTTTTATTCATATGATCGATCTGAGCATTATATATTTAATTTCATCAACCTCTATATACATCACGAGAACTGTAACCCTTTGTTACACTTCGCAGTTAGGTCATCAAGTTTCTGTTATTATTAATAATGCCATTTTAAAATCCTTAACCGTGCAGAATTATTAAAAAAATCTCTGATAATAATTTTTTATGTGATACTTTGCATATGTTTTATATGTTTTGATTTAATTATTTGATGGTACATCGTCCTTACGTTAAGGAAGACAGACTGTAATTAAATCTAGATCACATGATGAGAGTAAAATTCCGATATATCAATAATTCTTATATGAAAATGTATCATCACGAAATAGACATACTATATATACGTAACCCATTCTAAAAATTAAAACATTGATGATAACAAAAAATAAAAAATAAAAATTGAAAACCAATCTAACAAAGAAAAATTCCTAGAATAATTAGGTTCTACATAAACTACACCATTATTAAATCTGACAAATCTTGACTATATTACAATTTACTAATATATTCATTTTGACGACCAATCCATCTTTCTATGATACAAGAACGAATCTTTCTTTAGCTTTTTTACTAACTATATGATGGAATGAGTGTATAATCCCTTCTACTTAGTCGTTTCATTTGTTTCGCGATGCCATGCCCTATAAAAAAAATTCCGGAAAAAACTGTGTTTTTATTCGAAGAAATTCAGACACGTAATCATTTTTCTGAAAAATTTTTATAGGGATGTTTTCTTTCCCAATCAATGACTCCTTTACATCTAATATCCCAAATATATTGTTTACTTAATCTTTGTATTATTCACGAAGGATTTAATGGTCTCTTTGAATATTTTATCTGTACGAATTCTTACATCTAAGTTAATTTCCGGATGTTAATCAAGCGTTGGAAATATCTAAACTGAAGTTTGAAATCTTTTTTTATATTAAATGATAGATCTAAAGTTATTTTCAACGGAAGGGTATTTCATGAAGTTATTAAAGGGATAAAGGGATCGTTAAATGTTAAACTTTACTTACTTGAGATTAAGCACAAGTCCACGAACTTTTCATATATTTACACAAATTTACGTAAGTTTACACCCTGGTCGCATGGTTACGCCTAAAAAAATTTCCTGATGAATAATTTTCACAAATCCATATATGCGTCCAAGTTTCTATGCAATGGCCACAACGAATACATCTACCCGACGCATATATTTCAGGATTGCATAACTCCAATAGTAGGCAAATTTCAAACTTTAAATCATTATTTTTGAAGGATATGTCATGATTAAATTCTTTCATAATAATCCCGTATGATGTATTCCAATCATTTCTACCATTTCCAGATTCATTCTATATTGCTTATTGAGGTTTAGCGCTAACCATATTGTTTTGATTCAGTTCTTTATAAATTTCTAATGGACATTTAGTTATTAATTTCTTATGCCAGATCAAACCAAATTCCAAAGTATTACTTAGGGTTTACGCTAAGATTCTTATTGGTCTCGTATATTGACATTTTGCCAAACTATCAACCATTTCCATTAAAATGCGCTTCAACATTAATCACGTTAACCCTAATATTAGAATCGCACGGAAATTGAAATACATTCTTCCGTAGAAAAATTCTTGTACTACCTACATTTTTACAAAATAATTTATCTCACAATTGATAAACCGCCAAATTATCATTACTGTGCTATTATCACCTATTTTAACTAACGCAACTAATTCTAATTCTAAGACACAAATTATTTTCTATTCCTATATATACAGTATATCCTTTATCTAATAAATTATCTTGATCGTTAAATACTACCCAACCAATACCGTCCCATCATCTATTTAGCTGCATCTTTAACAAGCATCTAAATGCTCTACTTCTCTTTTTAATTTTAGATAATTATCTTTCAACTTTTTCTTTCCTAACTCCCCTTTCTTAATTAACTTATCTATCTAATTAAAACCGTTTATCTATTATAAGCAAATCTTTTAATATCTCTTGATCAATTACTGTTTCCAGTCTATCCCATTTGCTACTGATGTAGTGTTAATTTCTTAGTTATACTTCTCTTGTATTTAAGCTTTTTCAAACCATTCTGGAATTTTACCTCTACTACTTCTTCCAACTTGACATGTCAGCTCCTTCCATAAATGTTTTAACTTCAGTTTGTTAGTATTTTCATCACTATATGTAGCACACTTTATTATATATATGTAAAACAATAGCAGTAAAAATGAGAAAATTGTCATGTGACAGAAAATGATCCACTTCGCTAAATTTGTACCATACATTTGTGGCTATGTTTGAGGCCTTTTCGGGCGAAAATTTCAATATGAGGCCTATAACTCATTAATTTTATTAAAAAAAGTAGGAGGCTTTACCAAGCGGGACGAGTTTAGTAACAAATTTTATGAAGAAGACGATATTGCTTTACAAATATATTTAAATTATCAAGGTCGCCGTTCATTAGGAAAGTAGATAGGTTTTTTGTGAAAACCCAAAATTATCTCGTTTTTTCACTAATATAAATGAAGCAGCAAAGTTGAAAGTCGAAATAATTGAACTATTATTGCAAGTGAACGAAAAGATAGCCTAGGCAGGTGCAGGTGGTGGTATCAAGGAACATAACCTCAAAATAAAGAACGAATCATATTTTAGAAAAAATGATAAAATAAGGAGATTATCAAAAGAAGTAAGATCAATCAAAAAAAGCTAAATTCGGTTAGTAATTCATAGATCAGAAATAAACAGACGAAAAGAAAAAATTCGAAACACGAGATTGCCATAAGTTTCTGCGGATAAATCACGCGAATCACCGGCAAGCAAGATATAATATAAAAGGTAAAGGAAGATATTAGTTAGACACAATCAAATCAAGATTTACCATCTAGACAAAAAACCTGATTCAAAAATTGAATTATACCGGGGTATTTTGTTAGAACGATATTTTATATCCTAAACTTGTTACCAGAATTAAGGGGCCACTAAACAAGGTACCTAGTAAAATACTCGGGTCTTATAAAATGGGGTGCGCTCAAAAGGGGATACTATATGCAGTGCTAGACGGTATAGATATCAGATAGTGAAAGCGAAGATAGCATTATTAAATGATAATAAGAGAAAGGACTGTAAAAAGGAACCTTCAGTACAGATCTAGGTAATTGGCAAATAGGATGGTATGAAGACAATTCAACCGTAAAAAGATCGTAATGCAAGGATCAATGGAGTTGGCAGAGATTTTCGGAAGAGGCTAATTCAATAGAGACAAAGGAAGAAATCAATATATTTTCAAAAAAATACAAAGCGGCTTTTATAAAAACTGAAAAAAAAAATGATTGTAAATCCCATCATAAATTTCTTTCACAAAACAGACACAAAGACGAAGTGAATATTATAGTAGATGAAATGAAAAAATCAAACGGTCTAAATCACGTAACTTCAACTTAAATAATGATGATGTTATTTTAGCTGTATCCTTTGCTAACGATTGATTATGAAGATTTATTAATTAAGGTTTTAGATAGGAAAGAAGTTGTTGAAAAAATTTAAGCAACCCGAACATAGAGAAATTTCAACCCGCTTATGATGATATAGCGGATGCAACAGGTTGACGGTCAATAATAATGAGACAGAATAAATGTGGTAGTAAATATGATTGTTTCAGAAAGAAAGAAAAGGACGGAGCGATTGATTTGGATGATCCAAGTTTTATGAAAGCAAGTGGTTGCGTGATTAAATTATAGAAATAAAGCTATAGAAGCTAAAAGTCAAGATTTTGAAAATGCTTCTAAAAAATCGTTTAATGAGACATCTAAGGATTTTTGTGGTACCTACAAAGTGAAGAAATGGAAGATATTATTTTCTTAAATTATTAAAATTTAAAAGAAGAGTAGGAAAAATTATGAAAAAGCATTTAACGATTAAATTAGAATATGAACAACGATTTCCTAAAGATTTAAACGGGAAATAAAAGTAATAAACGAGAAAAAGAATGGACAGAAGTAGTATAGAAAATCAAAAGAAGATATATGATTTTAATGGGTTTAATTTTTAATATAATATAATTATATTATTTATTTTTATAATTGATGGTCAAAATATCATTCGAGATTAAAAAAAGTTTGATTTAATAAAAAAATAAACCAAAAAATAAAATAAATAAATAAATAAATAGAGTCAAAAAAATAGAAGACCTAAAAAAAAATTATTGTAAGTGCATCCCATATCCCATATATTCAATATGTAAGACATGATGCACCCCCTTTCGACAAGAACTTTAGCAAGAAATTTGAATAATATAAGCAATTGAAAGGCATCTTTTAAGTGTTGATTATATAAAAAAAACTTTCCAAGCATACAAGTAAAAACATATGGAGTGGGCATATGAAATAACCTTTTAACTCTTTTTAGGAATGCCATGAAATTAAAGATGGTCAATGGTCCTACTCAGTCCTACTATAAGAGTTTGCAGTCTTTTTGGTCCAGTCTTTTCGGTCTTAAGACTGAAAAGACCATAAGTCCTGAGCTGAGGAGACCATCTTTACATGAAATGGTTTATGTATGAAAGGAAAAAGAAGGTTTGTTTTGTTTAAATCATAAGAACTGAATTTATGCAGAGATTTTTGTATACATGCTGTGGTCATTACTTGGTGTTTCCACATAAGACAAAAATCTTATGCATATTAATCAGTCTGCCACCCTTTCTCTAAAGAAGTTTTCAGAAGTTCTAGAGTGTCCATCGAATAGCTATGGCTTATATCCTGTTGAAAATTCATAAATTATCTCAATAATATGATACTTTGAGATAATTGCTGGATTAATGGCGAAATGCATCATATTAAATTTTTTTACGATTGGTATCTCAATAATATGATACTTTGAGATATTATTGGATTAATGGCGAAATGCATCATATTAACTTTTTTACGATTAATTTCCTGATGATACAACCAATGATTAAGATACCATCAAACCACATAGCGTCATTAGCCCTGTTCATTTCCAGTCGGTTGCATTTTTTCGGTCAGATTTTGTTGTACAAAAATTATCCAATAAAATTTTTTTATTTTCAATCGCAAATTAAACTGCTTTAGATTGAAATTTAGTTCGAACTCCTTATATTGATATATATATTTTTCTTTTTTTCTTAAACAGAAATTATATAATTTTGGTTGGTTATTTTTTGGCGTTTGACAAAAAAACCCAAAAAAAATTGGGCTAAAAGTTCAAAAATGGTTGCGTTGTACAAACTGATCAGCCCAATCAAAATTAACTTAAATCTGACCGAAAAATGCGACTGATCGGACCTTTTAGACCAATATTTTTCTAGGTTTTTGAGGCGACCACAAATAAACAATCCCATTGGTGCAATACAGACCAACCGAAAAAAACCGAAAAATACAACCGACCGGAAATGAACATGATGGCTAGAGTATTAGGCATGGAGTATTCAATATTATGGTAGGTGTTGAATGATTGGCGCAACATGAACTATTAACAGTCCTAAATTTCAAGCACCGTTTTGAGTTCTACATTCCATATAGCAATATAAGGAATAATATAACATTAGCCAACATTAAATAACATTGATGATAATTTTCTTGAACTTTATTAGTTACTTCTGCTTACGGATATAAGGGGCTTAATTTACATAGCCTTTTTTTCCCCTAAATATATAGTTTAATAGCATTTGTCAGTAAATTTAATATTATCTGTAAATTTATAATGGTTAATTTCGGTAAAACAAAACCAAAAGATCATATATTCATTATATGACTTATACCCTATTTAGACATTTCCCATAACTATGATTTTATTTTGTATTAATGCAACATAATCGTTTTGATTAGATTTCAGTGCAAATGCTTTAGATTCCAAATAAATCGAAAGATATTTTATCTGAAAATGGAATTATTTTAACCTCACTTTCAATTATGTATCATTTAGAAATGGGTTATCAGTTTATCGAGTTAATTACAAAATTGAAAAGCCTCTTTTTTATTACTAATTTTTAATTAAGCTTACATAAATTTTTCCTACTTTTAAGTTTACTAAGTTTCTCTAAAGATTTTTGAGCGTCCTGATTACCTTTTTCAGCAGATTCCTTATACCAATAAATTGCTTTGTTAATGTCTTTATTAGTACCTTCACCAGATCTATACATAAATCCAAGATTACACATGGCTGTTAAATTTCCATTATTTGCAGCCTTTTCGTACCAATTAAAAGCTTCTTTTAAATTCTTTTTAATACTTATTCCTTTATAATAAAAATACCCTACTTTTAATTGTCCTAATGCATAATTTTTATCAGCTATTTTTTTAAAATATTCAAAAGCTAACTTCTTATTCTTTACAGTTCCATTACCAGATTCATAACATAAACCTACATAATAATATGCTAATATATGATTTTTTTCAGAAGCATTTTTAAATAAATTAAAAGCTTCTTTTTTATTTTCACCAGTTACTATTCCATAATAATTAAAATATCCAAGTAAAAAAATGAAATTTGGCTCATTTTGATTAATCGACAACCAATCATAAATTTCTGGTAATTTAATCCCATTATTAAGATTGTTAAGAATATGTATTCCTATTTCTTGATTTTTTTCTTTATCAATTTCCTTGAATATAAGATTAACAATTTCATCAATTATTTTTCTTTTAAATGTAAGTTCTTCACTAATCTTTGTTGATTCTGTATTCCTCATTTCCAAATCTCGAATAATCTGTGATGATCCATTTGATGAATAATTAATACTATACAATGTTGAGTTTTCATTTAATATTTGTCTAGATGTATTACTAATAGTCAACATATTTGATTTTGGAATGACAGATTTTAATTTTTGAATTACTTCAATTATCGTTGGTCGATCTTCTGGTTCACTATTCCAACATGCTATTAATAAAAAAATAAAAATCATTATCTATAATTTAATCAAAACGATAAAATTCATGAAAATTAAATAATTCATTCAATTTACCAGTATAAATATTCACATAATCATCGGGTGTATTAGAAATTGGTGTTTCTCTAAATCCATTTAAAATTCGTAATGCCAATATAACATCATATTCAATATTATGAAAAGGGATTTGACCACTCGATATTTCCCATAATAATACACCAACACTGTAAATATCGCTTTTTTCATTTAATGAGTACGGTAAATTATTAAATTTTTTTGGATCAATATAAGGGACTATACCAAATAAACTTGATTGATTTTTGGATAATGTTTCAATTCTCTTCGACAAACCAAAATCTGCTAATTTTATAGTATTTTGATGAATCAACACATTGCCAGAGTGCTAATTTATTTTTTTTAAAAAAACGTATAATATGAATTATTATGTAAATAATATATGATATAATTAGCAAAACAATAATTAAATAATAAAATACCAAATCACGATGTATAATTCCTTCGTCATGTAAGCATGATACGGCGCAAGCTAGCTGGTATGCAAGGTTATATTTATCATTCCAAGTAAGTTTACTAAAATTTTTCTTCAAATAGCTCCGAAGACTACCACCGTTAGCGTATTCCATTACTAATAAATAGTTCTTCATCATTTTATAATTTCGATCTAAATTTATATTATGTAAATTGTTAACTATTTCATTATTTTAAAAAAAAGGTCAATTTTGCACATGCTTAAAATGTGTACCTTCTGTTATTCCATAAAATCGTATTACGTTATCATGAAAGTCAACATCCCGATGAAGTTCAAGCTAATATGAAAAAAAATTTAAGTAAAGCTAAAAATATTATATATTATATTTTTTATAGTCACCTCATGAATAAGTTCCTTAATAGTGATATTATCAAGATTAAAAAAGGATTTCAACGCTAAATATTGTTCTGAATTTTTCCAATTGGCACGATAAACCTTTCCGAAACAACCAGTACCAATTTCCTGAATATTATTAAAATATTTATATTCATAATATTTAATATGATTTTTGGAAATAGATTCTTCAATCCAATTAATCGAATTATTAGCTTGCATTTCAAGTCTTTTTAAAAAATTTTAATATTAAAAAAATTTATATGTAATATGGATTTTTTTTTAAAAAAAAATGGTAAAAAATATTATTATTTCTCAAAAAGAAAAAAAAATTTTGAGTAAATAAAAAATAAAAATAAAAAATTTTTTTCAGCGAAGTGTAACAGTGTGCGAGAAAAGAGAAATATTTTAAATCTTTTTCCGGATGGTAATACAAAAATAAAAAAGGCGTTCCAAGAATTCGCAGATCAGGACTCTGTCAATATAACTAAAATGGAAAGGGCCTGATAATTATAACAATAAGAAAAAGAGTTACAAGCAAAGTCAATTACCTAATGTCAGTGAAACAAACCTTTGTATTTCCATTTCAGGCTATATAATATGATTGGTTCGCTGTAAATTCATGTAAACTTACTTGTTTACGCAGATTCATCACATGTGTAAATATTGTGGCGCAGCAATTTATTTGAACTTTATTTGCTGCTTCTTAATTTGGTCATATTTTCATGAGCATTGTTGTACAATTCAAAGGCATGTTGTAAAAACAACAAGTCACTTGTTGTTTTTCATGTCGATCAACATAACAAGTGACTTTGGATTCGTCTTACGGGGTTTAAAACATATCACGACTTTGATAATATCACCTTTTCAAACACGAAAAAAAATAACAAAAAAGAATTATATATTAAATTTAATAAAAAAAATATTTAGTAATATGCAAAAAAATCATTAGAGAATTTTTTAGTAGGGAAGGATTTTTTTAATAGATAATTTTGTTAGAAAATTTTTTAACGCGGAAGGTGAAAATATAACTTGGTGGAGATAGATTATTTCTTTAGAAATTTTTTAACGGGGGAGATTTTTTTTTGATATAGAATTTCGGTAAAGAATTTTTTTTAATAAAGAAAATAATTATTGTTTGTTATACATTTATACTAATAGGAGGGAAGTTTTTTTGATATAGTAATTCTTTTGAGAATTTTTTTAATAGGTAAGAATTTTTTTTAATAGGGAAAATGTTTTTTGATGGAGGATTTCTATTGGAAATTTTTCTTTAATAGGGGATATTCTTTTTTGATAAGAATTTCATTAGAAAATTTTTCTTTAATTGAGGTATTTCTTTTGACAATTTTGTTGGTTGAAAGGTTTTTTTATAAGTGAGTCTTTTTTTTATGGAGAATTTCGTTTAAAAGTCCTTTAATAGAAAATTTTATTGAAAACAATTTTTTTAAATAAGAGTATTGAGAATTTTGGCTTGAAATTTTTTTTTTAATAAAGAATTTCTACTATATTTTCTTTTTTTATCTTTAATTAATTTAATTAATGGTATTCTTTTTGATTTATATTAGCATACTTTTTTAATTTATAAATTTTATCTCTAATAAACATCGAGGTCTTCGATCACGTGACAGATTTAATATTTTTGATTGGCCAGATTGGCCACATGATTCATCGAATCTCGTTTTCAGTAAAGGTTCGTTTCCTCAGTCTCAAGGTATTTTTCTTTTCTTTTATTTTTATTTCTAACTTACATTCTGCTTACACTTTGTTTCTTACTACTCTATTTCATTATTTTTAGGTCCTTTAGTCCTTCCGGTTCTGCAATTAAGGTTCAGTTGTTTTTCACTTTACGTTTCGTTTCTTACTCATTTATTTATTTATTTTTTTATTTCGTTTCTTATTAACTTCATTTTTGTTTTTTACTTTATGGTTTTATTTTTTACTTGGTTTCCTATCATTACCCAACCTCCTATCATGATCATTTTTTTATTTTTTTTGTATTACTTCTCATTATTCCATCTTCGTCTCCCATTATTTTTTATATCTTTCATTTTCCATTATCTCTTTTTTTCTCCTGTTTACTTCCCATCATTTCTTTTTGTCTCTCATCACTCCTTTTTGTCTCCCATCACTCCTCTTTATCTCCCATCACTTCTTTTCGTCTCTCATCACTCCTCTTCATCTTCCATCACTTCTTTCGTCTCCCATCACACCTTTTTACCTCCTATCACTTTTCGTTTTTTTTTTAAAAAAAATTTTCTCTTTCTTCGTTACTTCCCTTTAAAGAAAAATTTTTATTATTCCTAACGTCTTCACCTTTTTTTAAAAGAAATCTTTTTTTGATTTATTCTGTTATTCCCCAATTCCCACACGCTACTCTTTTTATTTATATTTATCCTTTTTTTATTTTGTAGGCCAGATTTTTTTCTTTTTTCGGGGGTCTTTTTTTTTTCTTTTTTGTAGATCAGTTCAGATTTTCTATTTTTTTGTAGGTTGATTCAGGTCTTAGGATTTCTTTTTTTTTTTGTAAGTCGGACGTTCTGGAATTCTCTTTCTTTTTTGTAGGTTGCCAGGATTTCTTTTTGCACGAATGCTGACCCTTGGAGACTTGAACGATTGCAGGTACTATATGGGAAGTTTTGATTTCCAATTGAGTTAAAGAAACGTTCTTACGTTTTTTTTGTTTTTTTTTGTTTTTTAGGTTGTCTGACTCCAAAAAACTTGGACGGAACCTTAACTTATAGGTAAATAGGGAATGTGCTGGTCTAAATGAGTTAAAGAAACATACTTATTTGAAGGATTAGTAGATTATTTCTTAGGATTACTTCTGGAGACTTTGGATACTAGTACTTCTACTGATATTTCTTTAAGAAACTTAAAGTTTGTTTTTGTCTTTGTCGCAATATGCGGTTTTGATAGGGGATGAACTTTATGTATTTTGGGTTACTTTTTATTTAAATCTTGTAAATTCCATATGAATCCGTACAAATTCCGTATACAAATCTTATTTTTAGTGGTACTGAATTATGTATTTTTCCGATATCATTTCAACTAACTATTATATAAAGAACTTATTAATTTTTTTTATATGGTAGAAAGAAACATTTAAACATGTACAATTTTGAAATACAGGTATTTCATTTCTAAAGAATTTAAGGATAAAGAAATTTCTTGAAGAGGAGTACGTAATTTTATATGTCCAATATTATTATTAATTGAATTATCATGTAAGGATAGATTATTTTGTTTAGAAGACAATAATTTATAATTAATGTACTTAAATTGATATTCCTGTTGAACTATTTTCTAATCATTCTGGATGTAAATCTGCTAACCAAGTTTTATATGATGAAAAAGTTCCTGAACATTCAATTATGCAACTCACTGGTCATAAAAGTGTTCAAGGTGTGCGAGCTTATAAACAATCAATGAAGATCAACAGCTTAATACTCTGAGTTTCACGTTATAAATTTACTCAATCTATTTATTCCTACGAGGGCAGTTCTGTGCCAAACATTTCCTATCCAAGATGGATTAGATTGCAAATAAAAGTTATCATTAGCTAAATGTGGACGTTTAGATAAGTAATATTTAATATCTGTGCATGGTCCATTCCCATCGGCAGATATTGAAATAATGTAGGCCTTGCCTTCTTGAATTCCACGTTGATTATTTTCGGATGTATAGAAAAAGACATATACCTAAAAAAATTTTATTGCTGAATAATGATACTCTTTTAGAAACGCGTATGGAATATCTTTCCAAAATAATTCGAGCGCTTGTTAATCCAATAATATTGAAGGATTTGAAGTTAGATCAATCATTAAGTTAAATAACTAAATATATTCGTGAGTAATTTGAAAATGGAAATTGAATTATTAAGATTCTAAAAACAATATGAAATTATTATAGCACAATATCAAATTACAATGTAAAATAAAATTTTCTTTCGTACAAAGTCATGTTCGTACAGTACAAAGATAGTTTATTATTATTTTTAATATACTGTATGTAAGAACCTAGCGTCATAAATATAAAATTGAAGCTGAGTATATTTTCTTTTTTTTTATCGTTAATTTCCATTTCTTTTTTTTTTTAAAAAAAAGAAAAAATTAATAATTTTAATTTATTTTATAAACAATTAATTTAGGAGTCGGAGTCAGGACCAGGCCCAAAGGCTAACACATTTGTCCGATATGCTTCAAACTTTTTAAATATTAGCTTAAATATCTTAGAGTAAGCCTTCTTATTTTTTTTTAATTTTGATGTCCCATATTCAACAGAATTATTATATCTTTCACAAATCACACGAAATACTAGAAATCTAGAATATGATTGGTATTTAAACGCATAGTGCCCTACGCTTACGCCTCGGACAATAAGAGCTGGATTGTATTGAGCTATCACATTTCCGCCTTCAGATATAATTCGAATGCTATTTGTTCATTAATGTTAGTTCCGATACCATTATAATAATGTCCCAATCTTGTTATTCCATCCCTATAAAAAAATTCTGGAAAAAACTCCGATAAATGATCATTTTTCTAGTTTTTATTCTGAAGAAACTCAGACACGTGATCATTTTCTGAAAAATTGTTTTATAGGGCTATTAGAGTAACCTCCTTCGGTCGACTTCTAAAATAAAAAACTTTATTAATTCTTTACCAACGCTCTCTCCATTTTCATACATGAGAGCAAGATCGTGTTGGATTGCATTATTTCTTCAATTTGCAGCTATTTGATACAATTCTCAACGCTTTTTGTTTATCAATTCACTAAAATAGTAATATCCTAACATCATTACTCCGTTTGCGTGTTCATTTTCATTTGCTATTTGATTGCTAATCTCATAAGAACTTCTACCTTCATTGTTGATAATAATTTGTTATATTCGATTATAAAATAATTGTTAACCTAGTATTAACAATTTCGTGCACGAATGGTCTATTAGCAGGTTCACCGTCCTAACGTTCTAAATAATATATAAAGCATCAATCAGAGTGATAAAATAAGTATTACCGTTAAAATAATAATTTACTTACCAGTATAAAGCTTTATATAATCAACAGAAGTACCAGGAATTGTTGTTTCTCGAAGGCCTAATAAAATTCGAATAGCTAAACTACCAATCTACCATCATACGATCACCTGTATCAAAAGGTGGCCTACTACTGCTTGATATTCCCTATAAAAATACACCGACGCCATAAACATCGCTTTTTTCATTAAAGAATATGATTTTTTTTTAGTTATCGCCGTTTCTTTGATTAATAAACTTTTTTGGATAAATGTAAGGAACTATCTCAAATAAATCTGTTTGCTTTTTAGATGCCTCTTCGATTCTTTTTGATAACCTGATAACCTAAAATCAACTAATTTGATAGGATCCAACACATTACTAAAAAATGTAAGCTAAAATTTAATTGCACAAATATTGCATCATTAAAATTATATTCCTTAATATTTAAATGCAAAAATTTTTTGTTTATTTAGAATTTTCGAATGATAATATTAGAAAGTATTTATTAAAGTAATAATACGTTGTTTTAACATTTATCTTTGCACCTTGCTGGTCCGTTGTTGTAATCCCATAAAAGCCTAATAAGTACCACCTCACGATAAGGCCACACAAATTCGATTTTTCGGTTCGCTTCACCCGGTCAGGCCACTTTTTTATTTTTTCATTTTTATTATTTAGACAGTGATCAGGGACTACAAACAACTGCTAGCAGAACGAGTTATACATAAAACGAAACTAAGCTAAGCTAATGCGAGTATGTCCAATCCCCCTAAAAAGGAACCGCCACGCCTCTATTTAAAAAAAATTCCTAGGCAAAGCCAGATCACGAACCAATCACACTAGACGCCGAAAGAAAAGAAATAGCATACGAATGAAAATTAAAAAATTTAGAAAAAAGTTAAAATAATCTAAATGAGGACTAATAGAATTATAAAAAGACTGCCTATTCTCACAGTCATGAATAAATGATGTCCAACCACCCGCATGCAAGTAATTTGATGTAATAAGGATGATCCAACGAGGGACAAAATGGTCATTTGGCCTCTGAGATTGTAAATTAATAATACATCGTATCGGTCCTGTTGATTTCGAACGCCAAAATAAAAAGGTGTGAATTCGATGGAGAGAAGGTAGAGTTGATTGAGCGTGAGCGTTTCTTTTCACCCGTTTATTATTGGGTCACTTTTTCAAATTTCAATAAAAAAAGTTTATATATAAAAAGTTTATCACGTGATCAATACGTAATTTTATTGGCGGGTAAGTTTATAACGTTTCTGAGAACTCAACCAATCAATGACACGATTTTTTATTCATAAACATTTTGTATTAACTTTGTGAACTTGCAATGTTGTCAAGATTGAAAAAGATTTCAACGCTAAACATTGTTCCGAATTTTTCCAATCGGCAAATTGACAAGATAAACTTCCAGCACCTGTTTCTTTAAAATCATAACATTTAATATGTTTTTTAGATGGATTCTTCAATCCAATTGAAATGACAGTCTGTCTGTCTGACTCAGTGTTGGGCAATTGGGCAATTGGGCGTTTTGGACATTTATCCAAAACCGTCTAAAACTTGTTTTTTCATTTGGACAGATCACATGACAAAAAATTTAATTTAAGGCTAGATTAAGGCCAGAATTATGAGAATTATGACTAATTTTGGCCAATATTTTAATTTAATTCAAATTATTAAAATTATTAAATTAAACTAGTGTTCAAAATTGTCCAATTAAAAAACCAGTTGGGCAAGTCCAAATTTCAATACCCATGACTGAATTATTATTAAACCACTCATTTGATTATCGCTTTCAACTTATTTCCGAATTTAATTATGATTTCAACAATATTATCCAAACAATGAATCATGTTGTGTAATTAAGGAGGGGAATTGGAATCTCCGATAAACCTTAAAATTGTGATTGTACTTTTCTATTTCTGGTAAGTATTTTTAGAACAATCACGTGATTAACGAATGAAAGATTTACACAAGAGCTTTTTTTATTCTTTAAATTTTTAAATGAAGAATGACAATCACAGCTGCACAAAGGCGTTTGAAAAAAACCTGTTTTCTTACGAAATAGAAATAGTAAAATTTTTTTTTTTTTTCGCATGAATTATTTTATTTAATTCTTTACATTTTTTTTAAAAAAAAAAAATTATTCTTTTTTATTCGATTTTTTGTCATTTTGTTTTGCCATGTCTTCTAACGCTGTTACTGAAAAACCAATTGAATGGATTGAGGAAGCTATTAATAAAAGACATATCAAATATTATGAATATAAGCATTTTAGCAATATAGAGGAGATTGGAATAGGTGGTTTTGGAAAAGTATATCGTGCAAAATGGAGAAATTCGGAACAATATTTGGCGTTAAAGTCTTTTTTTAATCTTGATAGTGCTACTATTAAGGAACTTTCTCATGAGGTATACAAAGCATAATAATAACTCCTTTCAAAAAAAAAAAATAATAATTCTTAAGATATAGATTTCGTTCTTTTTTTTCATTTCATTAGCTTGACCTTCATCGTGAGGTACACTTTCATGATAATATCATCAATTTATTTGGAGTAACAAAACTTACGTCAGGTAATGATAAATCAAATCATTTAATTTTGCTGTAGCAAGTAAACTTATTGCTTCTTTTGCTATTAGATAATGAAATTGATCGATCACAAAATTATTTGCTAGTAATGGAATATGCTGATGGAGGATCTCTTCGAAAATATTTGGAAAAGAACTTCAGCAATCTTACTTGGGAGAATAAATACAACTTGGCATATCAGTTGGCCTGTGCTGTACTATGTTTACATGATGAAGGAATAGTGCATCGCGATTTGGTAATTAATTCAAACATTATTGACAATAAGATAATTGTTGAGTTTCGCAATATATTTTTAATGTATTTAATTTTTTTGTACAGCATTCTGGTAATATACTAGTTCATAAAAACACTATTAAGTTAGCCGATTTCGGGCTATCAAAAAGGATCGAAGCATCGTCAAAAAAACATTCAAATTTATTTGGCGTAATACCTTATATTGATCCAAAAAGATTTGTGAGCGAAAATAAAGAATACTCACTAAATGAAAAGAGCGATGTTTACAGCGTTGGTGTATTGTTATGGGAGATCTCTAGTGGTCAACGCCCTTTTTTCAAAGACGATTATGATGTTAGATTGGCTATAAGAATTCACGTAGGTTCTAGGGAATCAATTATTCCTGGCACACCCAGAGAATATTCTAATCTTTATACCGGTAAATAGTATATTTAATTTTTGTGAAGTATTGTCGCTTTAATTATTTAAGCTTATCTAAATAATAAATATTTTATTTATGTATTAGAATGTTGGGATGGTGAACCAGATAATCGACCCTCTATAATCGATGTTGTTAAAAGATTAAAAGAGTTTAGTACTCCACAATCAGATATGTTAAAGATAATTGAAGAAATTGACATTAAAAATTCATCGTCACATGAAAAGTCTCAACTAATTGAAGCTTTTACACATGCAGAAGTAAGTGAATCTAATAAAGTTAATGAAGACAATGAAACCAAAAAAGCATTGGTCAATAAAATAGTTGAGCTTATTTTTGGAGAAATAAATGAAGAAAAAGATCAAAATATAAGAAATCAGAATATTTATGATAACTTAAATAGTAATAAGATAACTTTACTAGAAATTTATAATTGGTTATTAATTAATCAAAATGAACCAAATTTTGTTTTCTTGCTGGGATATTTTAACTATTTCGAAACAGGAACAGATAAAAATAACGACGAAGCTTTTAGATTATTTAATAAAGCTTCAAAGGAAAACCATATATTATCACAATATTATGTAGGATTATGTTATGAATTTGGTCATGGAACTTTAAAGGACGAGGATTTAGCTTTTGAAAATTTTAAAAACATAGCCGATAAAAACTATGCACTAGGACAATTTAAAACAGGCTATTTTTATCATAAAGGAATAAGTGCTAAAAAGAATTTAAAAGAAGCTTTTATTTGGTATCAAAAAGCTGCAAACAATGGAAACTTAATGGCAATGTTCAATCTCGGTAAAATGTATAAAGATGGAGAAGGTACCAATAAAGATATCGATAAAGCAATTTATTGGTGTAATAAATCTTTTGAAGGAGGAAATCAAAATGTTCAAAAATACTTAGAAAAATTAATGAAAATTAAGGATAGAAAAAGAACTAATTCATGTAAAACCAGCTAATAATTTGTATTTTGTATTCTAGTTTTATCATTTCACTTAGATGCGTCGTAATCGTCATACACGTAATTGTATAAATAAATGTGCGTCCAATAATTTAATTATTTATATTTAATTCTCACGAATGGTTTTCTTTTTATTACATTTGGTTAATTTTCTAACAATAATTTAATCCGAATAGATAAAAAGATTCTTTAATTAACGGATAATTATAAGAAATTATTTTCTATATGGACATATATATCCGTTGAAATATATTACAAACATTAGCAAATCAATTTATTTTAGTCTATTAATTTAATCCACTGTATTATAAAAACAGATCTAACTATATATAATAAGTTCTCTAATTTGCCCGGAGCGTTAGTGAAGTTGTACTGCGATTTTGTGGTAATGCAATTTTCCAAATACACTAGTACATAATGTTTATAATATAACAATTCTTCTAATAAACAAACCTAGTTCCACATATTAGTCCTTGCTTTTTCCTTTTTTGATTTTCGTAACACTGTTTACCCTATAAAAAATTTTTATCCGTTATTTCTGTAAAAGCTCCGTAAAAAATGAGCCTTTCGCGGGATCCGTTCACAGATCCATTCACGGAAATGAAAATAATTCGATAAATTCCGTGATATAAGCTTATTAATTCTGCCTTTTACGGAAAAAAGATGGAATATAAAAAACGGATCGATTTTTTTACAGGGTTTTATTTGGTGTTGCATATTTTGTTATATGCTAACTTTCGTAATTTTTTTTTAAATAAACGCGAAACAGTTTCCGTTTTCCTAGATTTCCTAATAATATATTTTTGTTACAGTAGAACTTTGTTAATAAATTCCGATCTATTGCCAATACCTTTTGTAATTAATTTTCTACAATTTTGTTCGCTACTACTTTCTATCGCGAATAAGTTTCACACGCCAAAAGTGCTAAGGAAATGATTATTATTTTTAAAAAAATGCATATAAAGTAAACAATACACAATCATTGATACCAAAAAAATATAAAAGCTATCTCCTCTATCTACTCAATGATAGGTCATTTGGCCATTTGAAATGACCCCTGAATGACCCTCATATGGGTCATTTGTTTCATTTGAGTCATTTAGAATTAATTCAGGCCAAATTTATGATGCCGGCCAGAATTACAAATTGGAGAGTTCCTTAACGTACCGGAAAAATTACATTTTTATAATAAATAAATAAATCGGAATTTTTGCTGTATTATAGAAAAAACGGAATTTTTATGATTTTTAATGTCACGGGATAATTTTTGTTTATTTTTATTTCTATGTTTATCTTTCATTTTTGTTTGTTTATTTTTAGTATTAGTTATTTAGTGATTAGATAACAAACGGAAGCTTAGCGATAGAAAGGTAGCTGAATATAGGTGGCTGAATATAGGTGGCTGTATAGACAAATGTGCCCAGATCTCCACAATTGGCCGGGAGGTAATAATGGCCGAATAGCGATTCTGTTCGAAAAGACAGAATTGCACCAAAAATCTAATATTATAAAAAGGACCATCGTTTATAGTTGTAAAAGTTCAGTTTGAATTCGTTTAGAAAAAGTTAGTTAGGTTTTATTATCAGCCGATAATATACGGATATTACAGAGCGCCGATAGAAGCAGTAATATCGTATTTTGTTTTATTGTTAATAAGCCACTGATCTGTTTCCGTATTGTGCATACACATTTTATCATTTTTTTTACACACTGTTTATTACTATTTATTATCGTTCACCATCATTTATTATCAATTATTAATTTTGTTATATATCGTTGATTTTTCGTATACATTTGATAACTAATCGTTTTTTTTTATATACACACCACTCGATCTACCTTTAATCTATCACATTATTTATTATCGCTTATAATCGTTTATTATCGACTATCCATATACACCTTTACGGGCTTTACCTTATCGATTGTTATAAATTAACCGATCCTTACCCTATAAAAAAATGTTTGTCTGATAAATATTCGGAATGGGGTCGATTTTCCGAACGCTCGCACGTTATTATACAATATTTGTTACCATTTAGTACAAGATGCAGAGATTGAGAATTTTCGACCACATAAAAAACGTACAATATCATGATAATTGTCCAATATATGTCAAGTAAATGTTCGGAACGGGGTCAATTTTCTGAACAAAAAACTGAACAGTGTTTGGACAACTTTTTTTATAGGGTTATATTTCTTTCTATTACTACCTACCGAACACCAGAAAACGATGGTAACAATAACAATTTTATTCCGACTCGTGAACTAGTCTATCATTATTGCTCATTTCAATCGTTTTTGGCTAAAATTACAGTATTATCGTGTCACTAGCGCAACCTAAGTTGGCCTGCATTAAGACGTAAGCCGGCTAGAATTATCAAATGGTTCTTACTATAATTAGTAATTTTTTATCGGAATAAAATGTATATCAAAAAAAAAAAAATAATAAATAAATAAATGAATGAATGAATGAAAAATTTTTTTATTTTTTCAAACTTCCTCCTATAATATGTGAGATAACACACAAAAAAAAATAAATGATAAATCCGGATCTCTGCTGACGTACGCATACATCCTATCGGAGTTTAGGAGTTATGCACTTGCACGTGATAGCGTTAATAACCGGTCGGTGCGTACGTTAATATCGTACACATGATGCGTAAGTTAAGGATGACGAACCCGTCGCCTCCAAAAATGGTAGCCGGATTCATTTTGCCGGTTCTTTAGAATTAAGGTTAGAACTAGAGTTAGGTTAAGGGTTAGGATTAGGATTAGGGTAAGGAGAGTAATTTGACACTTAGTGTCACAACTGTTACATCCAGAGAAAAAAAACTCTAATTGTCGCCCATTGATTGTCACATCCATAATGTTATTTGTAACCCAGTAAAATGAATCCGGCTACCATCATAAAATTAAAATTTACGTGATTAATTTCTGATTTACGCGATAGTTTTTATGTAGGAATGACGTAAAATTATGAATTGATGAATTTTGAAATTTTAAGCCCAATGCCAAATTAATAAAAAAAATAGACGAGTAAATTACGAATAAACCCGTCCGACAAATAAAAAACATTTGTATTTATTATGTATAATGAAGTGACTAGTTGATAAATATTACAAATATATAAATTAGTTTATTAGCTAACCGTACATTTTTTACATGTTTTTCTATTCTTAATTTTCGTTAGTTTTTCTACAAATTTTTGAACTTTTTCAGTTTGATTTCCTCCTTCGAAAGATTTATTACACCAATAAATTGCTTGCTCGATATCTTTATCGGTACCTTCTCCATTTTTATACATTTTACCGAGATTGAACATTGCCATTAGGTTTCCATTTTCTGCAGCTCTTTGATGCCAAATAAAAGCTTCTTTTAAATTCTTCTTAGTGTTTATTCCTTTATAATAAAAATAGCCTATTTTTAATTGCCCTAATGCATAATTTTGATCAGCTATTTTTTTAAAATATTCAAAAGCTGAATTCTCGTTCTTTTCCGTCCCATGACCAAATTCATAACATAATCCTACATAATATTGTGATAATATATGGTTTTTTCTTGCAGCATCATTAAATAATTTAAATGCTTCCTCATTATTTTCATCCGTTCCTATTCCAAAGTAGTTGAAGTACCCAAGCAAAAAAATAAAATTTGGTTCATTTTGATTATCATGTAACCAATTATAAATTTCTAATAAAGTAATCTTATTTCTATTAAGATTATCAAGAATAACTTGGTTTCTTATTTTTTGATCTTTTTCTTCATCTATTTCCTTAAAAATAAGCTCAACTATTTTATTAGCTAACGCTTTTTTAATTTCATTGTCTTCATTAATTTTATTAGACGTGCCTTCTTTTGTATATTCAGAAACTTGAATAGATTTAATAAATTGAGATGATTTTATGCACGATGACGGATTTTCGATGTCATCATTTGCTTCGATTATCTTTAAATTACCAACTTTCTTTGGAATAAATGGTTCTAATTTTTTAACAACTTCAACCATAGACGGTCTATTATCTGGTTCACCATCCCAGCATTCTAAAAGATAGAAAAAATATGTTTACTCGATCAATAACTGTATTATTGCTTATAATCAATAACCTGAATAGAATATTAGGTGGCTTTACTATAATTAAAATTAAACAATATATTTACCAATATAAATTTTAGAATATTCAGTGGGAGTACCACGAATAGGTGTTTCTCTTCGCCCATGGAAAATTTGCGTAGCCAAACCAGCATCATATGCATCATTGCAAAAAGGACGTTGACCACTAGAAATTTCCCAAAGTAATACGCCGAAACTGTAAACATCACTCTTTTGGTTTAGAGAGTTTTGATTATTGCCGCTCGTCCCAAATTTTTTTGGTTCAATATATGGAACTATTCCAAATAGAGTTGATTGCTTTTTGGATAATACTTCAATTCTTCTTGATAATCCGAAATCAGCTAGCTTGATGTTATTTTCATGTATTAATACATTACCAGAATGCTATTAGATTTAAATCAATATATTAATAAACAAATCATTATAATTATTAATAAAATAAATATTAGATTAATAAATTACCAAATCACGATGTACTATTCCTTCACTGTGCAAACATGATACAGCACATGCTAATTGATATGCCAATTTGTATTTATCTTTCCAAGAGAGATACTTAAAGTTATGTTTCAAGTAGTTTCGGAGAGAACCACCATTAGCATACTCCATTACTAATAAATAATTCTTCGTCATTATATTATGCGAAAACTCTAAATAAAAAAAGGTTATTATAAACAAAAAATGTCTTTAAAATATCAAAAAAAGTGTTAACTATTTTATACCTTGATTTGAAGTAGTAATCCCATAAAAATTAATAATATTATCGTGAAAAGCCACTTCACGTTGAAGTTCAAGCTAATAGATCATATAAAAATATTTATTAAGTATAAAAATTTTAGTTTCCGTTTAACGATTATCTGACGACATCCGAATAAATATTCCGTGCCGACGCTGGTTACAATTGAAATAATTCAAAAAAAGATTTTTATAATCACCTCATGAATAAGTTCTTTAATAGTAATGTTGTCAAGATTAAAAAAAGACTTTAATGCTAAATATTGATCGGAATTTCTCCATTTGGTACGATAAACTTTTCCAAAACTTCCAGCGCCAATTTCTTGAATATTTCTAAAATGTTCATATTCGTAAAATTTAATATATTTTTTAGAAATTGCATCCTCAACCTGATTTATTAAATCAGTTAATTCGTTTAAATAGTCGGTTTCAGCGTAAAACATGGAAAATACTGGAAAAAATCACTACAGTAATATTAAAAGCATAAAATAAAAAACTGTGCGTTGAATAAAAAAAAATTTTACTTTTTTAAAATAACGCACATATATATTGATTTCATTGTTCTATTAACAGGTTTTTGTGACGAGTCTTTGTTATATTGTCATTTTTGGAAAGTTTATAAAAGAAATGTGTAAACGTAGCACCTTTATGTACCTTATTTTATATGTTTGTAGAACATCATTTCCAAATTAAGTAATAAGCGTATGTTGATTTAACGGAGTCGTGAACCGAAATCAACTTACGTGTATATTTCGTCATTAAGCTTACAAAATTTACTAATTAATTAATTAATTTCAAAATAAATACAAAAGAGATTTTAGTATAGTATAGATTTGCATAGATCAGCTCTTTAGATAGAATGTTTAATTATAGAGATGCATAATCCTTGGAACGTGCGTTTCTAGGTATTTCTTAAAAATATGTAATCTATGATATAGTTTTATATATTTTAATAAAGAAATGCGGTACTAATTCAAAATAAATAAATAAATAATAAATAAATAAATAAATAGATAAATAAATAGCAAAGAAAGTTTGTAGATTTTAAAGCGATATCAAGTATGTCTTGCCGCTACGCATTTTGGGACCCGCACTGTACTTCTTATAATAATACGCCGGACATAATTCAAATTACCTGATTTTAATATTTGTGCATATTAACTCCGACAATACTAATTATTTTGGCGGTAAATATTTATTCATATGATCGATAAACAATGTTACAATGTCAATGATTGGGCCAATCATAATAATCAGGCGTAGTAGAGAGTGACATAATTGCATAAAACGCCATTTTATTTTTTCTACATTCGAATAACAAAACTTTCCGTAAAATTGTGTAAGCTTTTTTACAGAAAAAAGCTCACTATGTCTCATAACAACCAAACTGGCAATTATAATGAATGGATTGAGGATGCTATTTCTAAAAAATACATTAAGCTTTATGAACATAAGCATTTTAGTAATATTCAAGAAATTGGCTCTGGCAACTCTGGTAAAGTTTATCGTGCAAATTGGAGAAATTCAGGACAATATTTTGCGTTAAAATCTTTTAACAAACTTGATAACATTACTATTAAAGAACTTGTTCATGAGGTACCTATATATATATACTTATTCTTAAATATGCCTTTAAATAACTTTAACCGAAGTTATTTTTTTTTTATAATTAATTAGCTCGGTCTTCAACAGGAGGTTGCTTTTCATAGTAATATTATAAGTTATTATGGAATTACTCAAGGTAAATAATAAATTAATTATTATCTTATTCAGCGTTTAAGAAAAATCGTTAAGCGTCCATTTTTTCTATACGGGAATCGTATTTAAAAGATGCCAAAATAAAAAAAAAATTGAAAAATGAAACCAATCCTTTTATACAGTATATTTACACTTGAATAACGTGTTTTCTTTATAATATAGAAATTTCGAATGATCAGATAATAAATTATTTATTAGTAATGGAGTATGCTGATGGCGGATCCTTACAAAACTATTTGAAAAGAAACTTCGGTAAACTTACTTGGAATGACAAATACAATTTGGCATATCAATTGACTTGTGCAGTATTGTGTTTACATAATGAAGAAATTGTGCATCGTGATTTGGTAATTTATCATAATTTAATAATTTGTAAGATTTACTTGTATTTGATATTTTATTAATTTGTATTATTTAATAGCATTCCGGTAGTGTATTAGTTCATCAAAATACAATAAAAGTATCTGATTTTGGATTATCAAAAGGAATTAAAGAAATATCCAACCCTCAATCACGATTAGTTGGTGTTATTCCGTATTTTGAACCAAAAGGATTCGTTGAAGAACAATCATATTTATTAAATAAGAAAAGTGATGTTTACAGTATTGGTGTGCTTCTATGGGAAATATCAAGCGGTAAACCACCTTTCGAAGGCAAACAATATGATCGTGAATTAGCCAAACGAATCACACAAGGTCTCAGAGAAACGATTGTTCCAAATACACCGCCTAATTATAGTAAGCTTTATGTTGGTAAATATAATTTAAATTATTTATATTATTAGTCAACTCATTATATGTAATATAACGATAATATCAACGACATTTTAACTAAAGCTTACTTTGTTTCATTTAGAATGTTGGGATGGTGAACCAGATAATCGTCCAAATATGAATGATGTGTTTAATAGATTAAAAACAATTATTGACGTGACACATACCAATAATAATAATTATGAACCAGTACCTTTCCATGTAAGTATTAACAATTCATTAAACGGAGGAGAATTATCTGATTTTAATAAAGAAATTACAGAAATTTTAATATCATCCGGTAGAAACACTAATATTTTACCCGAAAAAGAGGATCCGAATGTAGTTAACAAGTTAATAGAATTTGTTTTTATGATAACAGAAAAAAAAGAAACAACAACAATAGGACAGAATATTATAGATTATTTTAATAAAAATGAGATAGATTCACTGAAAATTTATAAACAATTATTAGATAATCAGAATGATTTAGACTTCATTTTTTTGCTTGGATATTTTTATTACGTGGGAATTGAGACAAGTAAAAATTATGAAAGTGCATTTCGATTATTTAAATGTGCATCTAATATATCTAATAATAATGCATCAGGACAGAAAAAGTCCTATATATTAGCAAATTATTACGTCGGAATATGCTACCACAAGGGATACGGAACTGCAAAAAACGAAAAATTAGCTATTGGATATTTTAACGAAGTAGCGAATAAAGATTTCGCAGCGGGACAATTAAATATAGGTTATTGTTATTGTATGGGAATAGGTGTTGATAAAGATTTAAAATTGGCCGCCCGATGGTATCAAAAAGCTGCGGATAAAGAAAATTTATTAGCGACATATAATCTTGGTCTTTTATATTTAAATGGAGATGGAGTTGATAAAAATCATAGTAAAGCTTTTAAATTATTTGAAAAATCAGCTGAAGAATGTTTAGACGGTATTGTAATGTTAGGACGCTGTTATGAAAGTGGAATAGGAACCAAAATTAATAAGCGTAAAGCGTTCGGATTATATCAAAAAACAGCGGAATTAGGTGATAGTCAGGCTCAATATAATCTTGCTTTTATGTACAAAAATGGATATGGAACTGCAAAAGATTATGATAAAGCAGCATATTGGTATAAAAAATCTGCTGACCAAGGACATAAAGAAGCTTATTATAAATTATGTCAGCTTTCAAAAACTAGACATGATGATTGTAAGATAATTTAGTTAAACATTTCTTTGTATAATTATTTGTAAATTATATAATTGTATTTCGTACATAATATATATTAAAAATTTGTAAATTATTAGTTTTATATAGCTTTATATTCACAAAATAAATTAATCTATAAACTCTTATAATTAATTTAATCGTCTGAGTTGTCACTATGATTTCCGAAACAAAGACACTCCCCACTTGTAAATTGTGTATTGACCCAAATCCTTATCAATTAATTAAATCTTTAAAATTCTTTAAGCCACGACTTATAAAATTAATCTATTGGTTTTATATTATTACATTGAGTTTGATACTTTAATTTGCTAATTTCCCATAAAGTAAATATAATAATAACAATAATAACAGATGCTTTTTTATCAACCGGACATGCAATACTTTATGGATATTGTACGGTGTTGTATTTATATTGGTTAACGTTACGAATCGTCTAACTTGTCCAATAATTTTCTCCGTTTTTATACATAAAAGCGAGATTATATTTAGCTATAATATTTCCTAAATTTGCAGCTTTTTGATATAATTCAAATGCCTTTTTACTATCCAAATCGGTTTCAATACCATATTGGTAATAATATCCTAACATGCATATACTTTCTGGATATTCGCCCTCGGATGATTTTTTAAATAATTCAAAGGCTTTTTCTCTATCTTGGTTAACATAATCTCCTTTATCATACATAAAAGCAAGATTATATTGAGCTATGCTATTACTTAAATTTGCTGCTTTTTGGTATAATTCAAATGCTTTTTGTTTATTAACATCAATCCAAATTCCTAAATAATAAAATACACCAAGCAGAAGAACAGAATTGGAATTATCTTGATTATTTAATAACCAATAATAAATTTCTTGTGAAGTTATATTATAATTATTAAGATAATTAAGAATTTCCTGTTTTTCTTCTACTTCTTCTAATTTATTAAGAATATTTATTATTTCATCAACTATAATATTAACAGGTACGATATATGTTGTAGGTTCCATTTCTTCTATGTTTATCTTGCCAAAATTTTGGATAACTTGTGATAAATTTTCAAATGGTGAATATTTAATATTTTTAGGAACCTCAATAACATTCGATTTAAGCTTAAACGGTTGTTCACCTAATAACTGGACATCCGCATTAATATTACAATTATTATTTTTTGTACTAATTGCCTTTAATTTATCAGCAACCTGATTAATAGTTGGACGATTATCCGGTTCACTATTCCAACAATCTAAATGGTATAAAATAAAATTTAAATTTAAATTAATTAAACAGTATTAAAAATTGAATTGAGATTTATATTTACCAGTATAAAGTTTTATATAATCCTCAGGTGTATCAGAAATAGGTGCTTCTCTAAGACCATGTAGAATTCTTATAGCCAAATTATTATCATCACAAGGTTCATTACAAAAAGGAGGTCGGCCACTAGATATTTCCCAAAAGAGTATGCCAATACTGTATATATCACTCTTTTTATTCAATGAATAGATTTGCACTTGATTAAATATTTTTGGATCAATATACGTGACCTTTTCATGTAATTTTGGTTGAATATTTGATGATTCTTCGATTCGCTTTGACAGTCCAAAATCGGTTAACTTAATGACACTTTGATGAATTAATACATTATTAGAATGCTATTATTTCAAGTACGGTACATTAAAAATAAAATGAATGAGTAATTATCATACATTTGACAAATATAATTGTAGTACAGTATAAAATAAATTACCAAATCACGGTGTGCGATTCCTTGATCATGTAAGCATAATACAGCAGAAGATAACTGGAGTGCCAATTCAAATTTATCAGTCCAAGTGAGATTTTCAAAATGTTGCTTCAAATAGCTTCGAAGAGTACCACTATCAGCATATTCAATCACCAACAAATACTTTGAATTATCAACTTGATTTTCTTCTAATAGAAATTATACTGTATTTAGTTTCAAAACTTATATGTTTTTTCAGACATTGTTATTTAATTTTATAATACCCTCATATGAGATAATAATACCACAAAAACGAATAATATTATTATGAAAATTAACTTGATGCTGAAGTTTAAACTAAATCATAAAAAATTAAAATGTAAGAGTCAAATTAAGTATAAATATGTAATATGCATTATACTCAATTACCTCATGAATAATTTCCTTGGCTATTGTATTGTTGAGGTCATAAAAAGATTTCAGTGCTAAATATCCTTGAGAATTTTTCCAACTTGCACGGTAGACTTTTCCATAACTTCCAGAATCAATTTCTTGAATATCACTAAAGTGTTTGCGTTCATAAGATTTAATGTAATCTTTGGCGGCAACGGCTTCGTTAATCCATTTAACCCACTCATTTGATTCAGCAATAGACTTAAATCCAGTATTGTCAGACATTTGAATTCTTTTCCTTTTTTTTTGAGCGAAGAAAATCGAAAACTTTTTTTTTATGATAGGTATGACCGAAAACGTAATTATGCATAAAGGTAACAGTTGATCATATGATTAAGAATATTTATTCAGGCGCAGTAAATTTGTCACACATGATTTTGATGCCGATCATCTTTAAAGTGATATTCATTATTTCATTATTTCATAAGATAAAGCGTCATAAGATAATTTTCTATATTTGTTGGGTTCGTCTATCTGGGTGGTAATAGGGGAACTAGTACTTTTTAATTTGTATTTTTTTTTGCATCAATACTGTTTACTTTTATACTCTAATAAATTGGCTTATAATCTTAGCAAAAAAAAAAAAAATAATAATTTTCTATATTTCCTTATCTGTTATGTATTTTCGACCAGAACTATCACCACCGGTGATGTTTAGCAATACCTTTATTTTTAAATACAATAAAATAAGAACTATAATAATGTTTTAATTAATCTATATGAAAGTAGCTATTCACTTTATTGTTGTCACCTAAGAGATAACATTTATTATATTTTATTCTCAAGAAAAGCAAACCTATCATATAAAATTTTCTTGCTATCTTTTTTGATTTTTTGATTTTTTTATCAACGAATTGATGTAAAACAATCTTTTTCATTCTAAGATTCCAAATTTACATCACAAAAGATAAGATAATAATATTATTAAGGTTCAGGGAGACGTCACTGTCATAAAATGTTAGTTGTCATCCTGTTATTTATCACGTGTAATTTTGAATGTTGTAATACTACCCAAACTATTCTAAACATACCATAATACAAGTTCTTGTACACATTATACAAATTCAACATAACTGCATATATTTTTTTCTTTTTTTTTCAGTTTAGTACATATATATAACTAAATTAGGTTTTGAATAGTTTATAATGAAATCAAGGTGTTCCAAAATTATAAAACAATCATTACTTAATTTGCGTTAAAAAAGAAATAATAAAAAATTTATTATAAATATAGGGCTTTTCAACATTCTTCTCGCTTCATTCCAATTTTTTTTAAAAATTAAATTGAAAAACATAGTCACAATCTTTGCTCTTGCCCTTAGATTCAAATTTTACCTTCCCGAATTTCCCAATTTTTTTTTCTTTTTTTTAAAAGTTAAAATAATAATGGTAGCATTACAAGGAGGGCTCAATATTTATCATATAAATTAATGAACCATAAATTATATTTCCATATCTTTGCTCTTCTCAAAAGTTTTATGTCTATTACAATTATTATCTAAAAATACTTATTCTTATAACTTTAAAGAAAAATTTAATCCAAAGTCACATACAAATTTATGATTTATTTTACAAGTATTTCTGTTTATTATAGAGAAAGTGTCATTGATGACTTATGATATGCAATATAAAAAGAAATATTTCTCATAATTGAGTGGCACAATTAATAATCAAGTGCCTTTAGTCATTATTAATGGTATGAACCATATATATTACATTTCTTTGTTAAGGAATTTTCTAATGTTTAATTAATAATTATATTACAAAGCCATAATACTAACTGATTTTTGAATGTATATTCTCATTTATAGAAGTTATTACATACAAATTTCAATAAATAAATTTACAGAAGCATGTATATATCATGCTTTAAAGGTTTGAATAATAATTTGTAATGTAATTTTTCTAGGTGACAGTATTTTAAAAGAAAAAATAAATAAAATAATTCTTTTTTTTGACAAAAAATATAAAATTTTCAGAATTTTATTTATTCAATTGCAAGGTATTATAGATGCTAATAAATAAAATTTACAACATTGCATGATGTTGAAAACATCATAACAGGGATTAGAGTTACATAGAGAACTTTAAAGAACTATCAGAATTTAACATTATGAAAAATGCATGAAAGTCAATGTACAGTAGGTGATCAAAAGTATAAGGACACTTTGTTTTACCAAATTATGCAAAAAATTATGTATTAATGTAATATAAATAATTTATAATCTAATATTTGTAATCATAATAAACAAATTTTTATGCTTTATATATTTTCAGAATTTTTTAGAAATATGAAACTATCTATGGCATAAATTATTTTAATTTTATTATGCGGTTTACAAAATTTGAAAATGATGTAACTTAATCAATATCGTTCTAATCAATATGATTTTAGTATCATTTGAATCGTCTCGATGAGACGAATCTAATGAGCTAAACATCGTGAAAATCTGATCATTGAATCAAAATATACTATAGAATAATTCTAAATAATTAAAATATAATTGTGTACTAAATATTGATTTTACAATTGTTATTTTATTATCATTCGAATAAACTCAATGAGGCGGATCTAATAAATCTAAGATCATAAAAATCCAATCACTAGATACTGAAATATTCTTAATAAATCTTAAATTTATATGAATTTTGCAAATTCTGTAAACTCATGTAAAATTTTACTTGATTACCTTACATTGAGCTAATAAACTTATGCAAAATTTTATTATTTACATTATGTTTGCATGTTATATTAAATTTCTTGATAAAATACTTGAAAAGTATATTAAAAAAAAATGCATAAAATATATTTCTCTGGTATATTTTAAATGTCAATCAATTACATATCTCATAGAATTAAGGCACAAATGAAAATGAAATTTATCAATAAATTTTTATCTAGTTTAATAAAGTTTAATAAATAAAGACATAATGAATATGTTTAACTTAATTTTTTTATTTTAATTTTATTATTATGTATATAAATTTTTTCATTTTGAAAAGTGTCCGTATACTTTTGATCGCCTACTGTAAAATTCCATCTAACAAAAATAAATAAATAAATAAATAAAATGGATATTAATTAAAGCTGATTATTTATGTAAAATAATATATTTTTATTTTAATGACTTTTTTTCTAGTGAATTTCGAATTAAAGCCGGGTGCACTAAATAGTATATTTAGTAAATTATTAGTTTATTTTTTATGAAGTGTAACGAAGGACTATATACTTCTAAATTAAACCAATATCAAAATAATCACAATATAAATTAAGAACCATACTTTGCAGAATTATAAGAATAATACTAATAGTTATAAAAAAAAGAATAATTATACTAAATCTATTTTTATAAAAAATCGAAATTCAATCACAGTAAATTTTGTAAACTAATATATGAATAAGCCATCAAAATTTCTAGTGATACTCACGTAATACAAAAACACATTTGTTATAGTTACAATGAAATTACCTATGGAAAGCCGTCCTTGACAAAAGGTTGATATCCAGACATCATGTTGGATAATGTCTAGATATCATGTTTGATATATGTAGAATAATGTTTGTACATCATTCAACATGATGCTCAAGCATCAACCGACATGATGTCTTAGACATCATGTTACCAAATATAGTAAATTTTATTTTGTGTAACTCATAAATATATTATATTTGGTAATTTGATCAGCATGATGTCTAGACATCATGTTGGTTGATGTCTTTCACATCATGTTAAATAATGTACAAACATCATCCTACATATATCAAACATGATGTCTAGACATACCATCATGATGTCTAAATATTATATTTCATGATGTTTGGACATCAACCTTTTGTCAAGGACGGCTTTCCATAATTACCTTGTTAAATTTAACCAAGTTTTTTTTTAAAAAAAAATAAAATACAAAAAAAAAAATTAAAGATGGTGCAACATGGAAAGTAAAGTACGTTTGAAATATATGGATATTTATTAGGGTTGGATCAGTCCAGTCCAGTCCGGTCCGGTTCCAAAAAGACCGGTCTTTCAACCTGGACCGGACCGGACCAGGACCGGACCGATTTAAATTTAAAGAAATGATTTTTAGACCTCTAAATTATGCTAAAACATTAAAGAACGTTGCGAAATGTTTTTTAATATGTAATTTAACAAATAAAAAACGTTTCACAACGTTTTTTAATTATTTTAATAGAAAACGTTGCGAAAACGTTTTTTATTAATAAGTTCATAAAAAAAAACGTTTTTTGCAAACGTTTTTAATTATTTTAACAAACAACGTTGCGAAAACATTTTTATTAAGTAATTTACGTTTTGCAATGTTTTTATTAAGCAATTTAATAAAAAAAACGTTTTCATACGTTTTTTTAATTATTTTACGTTTTTTATTAATAATTTCACGAAAAAAAAGTTTCGCACGTTTTTTTTAATAAAAAACATTGCGAAAACGTTAAAAACTGAACTGACAATCGGTTTTGGCAAAAACCGTGCCCTAGAAGTAGATGAGCACAAAAATTGTCTCATTTTTATTGGATATTAATAATATGGGATCGGTCCCCGGTCCGGACCGGTCCTCAGATCTCGGACCAAAGACCGTGAAGACCGGTCCCAAGACCGACGCAGGACCGGTCTTTGCTAGGACCGATCCAACCCTAATATTTATTTTGGAAACTCTATTTTCCTTCCTACAATTGGCAATATTTAATAAAGGTCAAAAATTTTATCGTTAATAATTGAAAAATCATTTCTTTACTACTTTCAATTAAAATTAATTAGCTTGATTATTTTTCAATTAATAAATAAACTAGGAAAACAGAAACCTTTAAAGTACGTCACAATCGTTGCATTCGTCGCAATATGCATGTTCATTAATCATTCGTTATACAAAGATTTCAGGGGTCATTAAAGAAGGAACATGATTTGAGGATATTCATTTTGAAAGACACCACATTTAACAAGAATACTCATTCATTATATAATTTAATTTATGTCTATTTTCCTATGTAATGGTACAATTTATAAATTATTATAAATAAAATATTTATTAACTAATTTTACATAAATTATTTCTAATTTTTCTTAAATCTATTAAACTATTTTGAGCTTTTGATATCCTTGTTTAGCAGAATGTTTATACCAATGTTCATACCAATAAGTTGCTTTATCTAAATCTTTTTTAACTCCGTCTCCTTTTTCATACTTCAAAGCAAGATTATTTTCTCCTAAATTTGCAGCCTTCTGATATAATTTAACTGCCTTTTTCTTATCAATATTAACTCCAATTCCGCTACTATAGCATCGTCCTAACATTGTTATTCCGCTTGAATATCCTCCTTCAGCTGATTTTTTGAATAATTCAAAAGCTTTTTGATGATCTTTATCTACACCATCTCCATTTTTATATAAATGGCCAAGATTATACATGGCTGTCAAATGTCTATTATTCGCAGCTTTTTCATACCAGTATGCAGCCATTTTTAAATCTTTTTTAACACTTATTCCATTATCATAAAACCAACCTAATTTAAATTGTCCACTTGCATAATCTTTATTAGCTGCTTTTTCATAATATTCAAATGCTAATGTTTCATTTTCGGTAATTCCATTTCCAAATTCATAACATTGTCCAACAAAATATTGTGCTAATATATGATTTTCTTCTGATGCATTAATAAATAAATTAAATGCTTTCTCTTTATCTTCGGTTGTTCCAATACTATAGTAATTGAAATATCCGAGCAAAAAGATGGATTCTGAAGTATTTTGATTATTTAATACCCAATTATAAATTTCTTTTGAATTTATATTATAATTATTAAGATAATCAAGAACACGTTGCTTTACTTTTTTAGTCCTTTTATTAACCTTCTTAAAAATGAGATCAACTATTCCAATAATGATAATACCTAAATTCTTTTCAGATGGAAAATTTTCATTAATTTGTTTATTTATCGATGTTATATTATCCATTTCATTTGTATTCATATTAGTGAAATCTTGGATCGTTTGGAATAGTTCTCCATGTAATGAATTTCTTATACTATTTGGAGTATTTGGTATAGGATGAGGTTGATCGGATATATCATGCTGCTGATAAATTGTTACGTTATTTGAATTTGAAATAAATACTTTTAATCTGTTAACAACTTCATGTATAGTTGGTCGTTCACTTGGTTCATTATTCCAACATTCTAATAATTAAAAAAATGTATTTAATTAACATAATGATTTTTAATAAGTGAACCAAACAATACATTGGAATCATATTTACCAGAATAAAGACTAGAATAATCATTAGGAGTATTGGGAACAGTTGTTTCCCTTCGACCTTGTGAAATTTTATACATTAGACTAAAATCATACTTCTCTTCACGGAATGGTGGTTTCCCACTTGATATTTCCCATAACAAAACGCCAATACTGTATATATCACTCTTTTTATTTGACCTTAAATTGTTATCCATCAATACTTTTGGATCGATATAAGGAACCATACCAAGTAATTTTGATTGTGATTTAGATGCTTCATCAATTCTTTTTGATAAACCAAAGTCCGCTAACTTAATGGAATCCTGGTGAACTAACACGTTACAAGAGTGCTATTATAATATACAAATAAGAATAAATAAATTATAATTGTTGAAATCAATATATTTTTTCTTAATATTGAAAAATAAAATACCAAATCTCTGTGAACAATTCCTTCTTCATGTAGACATCGTACGGAACAAGCCAATTGGGATGCCAAATTGTATTTATTATCCCAAGTAAGTCTATGAAAGTTATTCTTGAGATAGTCACGAAGCGTACCACTGTCAGCGTATTCCATTACTAACAAATAATCTTTTGTTGGATTAAATATATTTTCTAATAAAAATAATTATTATCAATATTATTAATTATTGAATAAAAAAAAAATCATTTCATTCAATTTGACTGTTACAATCGTTATTAAATTTTTTTAATGATATTCTTATTATTACCTGACTTAGGGATTGGAATCGATTCCCATTATTAGAATCGATTCTAAAATCGATTAATCGCGATTAATCGTTTCGCAAATACCGATTTTTTTTTATACAATTTATAATAGGTGTGTTTAAACACATATCACGTGATTACAAAAATTACAGTGATCGACGAATAAATTTCCTTTTTTGGAAATTTGTACAACCTTGTGCGATAGCAACTTGAATTTTATAGGGAGATAAAATTTCCTTTTTAGGAAGTTTGTGTTCCGTCACGTGATTCGCGGGCGGAATTATGAATTTGGCCAAAATTAACTATTATGAACAAATAATAATTTATGGTCAAATTAACGAAACTGCGCCACAATAAGTAGATTCGATTTTTATTCGAGATTCGATTTAAAATCGATTCTTATCGATTTTCGATAGTTTCGATTTTAATCGAATCTTTTCTGATCCCTAATTAGAGAAAAATTGAGAGAAAAAAATTAATAAGAATGAATATAAAGAGAGTACGTAAAAATAAAATATTGTGTGCAATCGAATTTTTATAATAAGCATAAATTACCTCATTAACAATTTCTTTTAAGGTAATTTTGTTAAGATTATAAAAAGATTTCAACGCTAAATAATGATCAAAACTTTTCCAATTTGCACGAAAAACCTTTCCGGATGTTCCAGAACCAATTTCTTGAATATTTTTAAAATTTTCAAATTCGTAATATTTAATATGTTTTTTATTAATAGCTTCTTCAATCCAATTAAGCCATTCATCAATATTTTCGTTATTTTGCATTTTTGTTATTATTTTTTTTTTAATAGAAATAGTAAATGGAGAAAAGCAATAAAATTTTTAACGAAGTCAAAAAAAGTCTATTTATAGATTTGGGCAAATCACTTGTGTAACAAACAGTGTGGTAAACATAAATTAATTGTCGATCAACAGCAGCATATTAAAACTTAATTGCATTTTAAAATTGAAGTATTTATGGACTAGATTTTGCATTTTAGTCTAAATTCCAAAGGACGAAGAAACTTTCAGATATTGTTAGTATAGATGAAACTACCTTCTTTAAATTATTTTTTGTTAGAAAAGGAAATCACTTGCCATTTTTAATTTATCTTTTGTAATAAAAAAAAAATTGACCATTGATTACGGTGTGTTAAGAAAAAAATTGTGGTTAGAAAAAATTGAATATCTCGGTGATTATGCATATTTTTAAAATTTAAAAAAAAATTATCATAAATTTTAATTAGTCCAAAATTGACAAGTAATTCAAATTTGATGACATAGATATTATAATATAAAATGCAAAAATTGAGATTATTTAGCTTACTGCTGATGTATTTTAGAATCATAATGCCGATCATCAATCGTTATAATTTAACATGGAATTTCTCAAGATTCATTCTATAAAATAAAAAAAATTAATTTAATTTGAATCACAAGTTAACAAGGTTACAAGAAATTTAAAGAAATATACTAACCGCAACTCACACTGTATCATTTTATCAAAGAAAAAAATTCGGGTCAGTTTTTATTAAAAAAATTAAAAATCAAATTTTCATTTCTTAGATGTGAAAATAGAATGTTTTGTTTAATAATACTCCTGGAAAAGATACATATCTGATTCTTTTTAAGCGATTTAATGAGCGCAAACATTCAGCGTATAGTGCTTACAAACGCTCTACTGTTGGTATCATTATCGATTATAAGACTTCACTTTCCTATTATTGTGTAAAGAATTTTTATCAATTAAATATTGAACTTAAGATAAAGATTCAATAAATGGAAGAAACAATGAGATTTAACTTTAGATACGGCAAATTCTCAAGCATATTTTTGGACAACTGCTTTTGACCCAAAGATCCACCTCAATTAATTTAGACGGTCCTATAGAATTAGCCGCTAATAAAATAGTCAAAGTAAAAAATTGGAGTTTGAGAAATATTATTACTTACACATTAGGGTTTAATCTTCGCATTATTATATTAAGAAAATGTGATTATTGAGATATAAAGGTGTTAATCAGTGTTACCACCAATTTGTGCGGGTCGGAAGGGTAGTAACAGAAATATATGAGGGTTAACTTATAGGATTCAATCAACAATAGACGACAATCGGCAATAAATCGTAAGGAAATTGAGAGTTCGTCAATAATTAGCAATAAAACTATAACAGATAACTGATAAACAATGTATTTTTATCAAATGTGTAACAATCGGAATTCGGAAATAATTGACAATAAAACAATAACGAAGTTTATAAAAATTAAAGACAATCGACGGGTTCTTTATTAACAAATACAAAGAATTCCACAATATTACCGCCTCTGCCGGCGCACTGTAATATTCCCAAGGTTCTATCTAAGTGTTAATAACCGAAGAACCACTGCACTTGAAACCCCAGCGGAAACACTTCCCTTAAATATTGCTTGAAATTTGGGTGATTAGTTCTTTGGCCAACTCGCCCGTTGTCCGAATCGTCCAAAGTACGACTCATCTTCCGGCCAAATCGTCCATTGTACGAATCGTCTATCACAGCCATAATTGGTTCTCACTAAGCCATACGCCACGTTATACTATAAAATAAACTATATAAAATAAACTTATATAAAATAATTAAAATAATATATATATATATATATAAATTCCCATACCTAAAATTCCCGTGACATCAGCTACAAGAAAACTGTTACACACGCAGTTGATACATGGATCATCATAAAATTAATATATAAGGTTAATTTTATTTTCAAATAGGTTAACAAATTTTTTCTCTCTAAAATACACACTTTTCTTAACAATGTCTTCAAAATTTTTAGAAGAATTATCAAATGATTATGAAAAACTTTTTGAAACTGAAATAGGATATGATGTTATTATTTATGCAGGAGATGAACTAAATGTTAAAGAAATCCATGCTCATTCAAATATTTTATGCATTAGGTCAAAATATTTTCGCACGGCTTTTTCTAATGAATGGGCTGAAAAAAAAGATGGAAAATTTATTTTAAGAAAACCAAATATTTCGCCTCATTTATTTGACATCATTCTTAGGTATTAAATATTATTTATTATAATGGTTTTGACATTCCATATTTTTATATAAAATTAATGAATGTTTTCGCTATCCCATAATTTTTAGGTTTATTTACAGTGGAAATATTGAATTGAAAAATTTACAAGGACCAGATGTATTGAAATTGTTGATAGCTGTGGATGAATTAAATATTCAACAATTAATTTCTCATATTCAAGAATATTTGATTAAACATCAAACTGAATTTTTGCATCAAAATCCAACTGGTATTCTTGAAACTGTCTATCAACATGAAACATTCATAGATTTATGGAATTTTTGTCTTGAAAAAATCTGTAAAGAACCTAGAATTTTATTTAATTCTAATAAATTTGTTAATTTAAAAGCACCTTTATTAGAATTATTGTTAAAAAGGGAAGATTTAAACATGGACGAAATTGAGATTTGGGAAAGTTTATTGAAATGGTGTTTTGCTCAACAAAATATGGAAAATGATCCAACAAAATGGAACAAAGATGATATGACAAGAATTGAGAGATCATTACACAAGTTTATTCCACTAATTAGATTTTATGATATTAAACCTACAGATTTCTTTTATAAAGTTTACAATTATAAAGATATTTTACCACAAGACTTAATTCATGATCTTTTGGAATTTCACATTGTTCCTGAAACAAAACCTAAAACTAATGTAGCCCCATCAAGAAAACCAAATTTAAAAATTAAACTTGATTCAACCATAATTCAATCAAACCACATTTAGCTTCTTGGATTGATAGAAAAGATTCTTCATATTACAATAACAAAATTATTCCTTATGATTTCAAATTGTTATATCATTCAGGTCGGGATGGATTTAATGCTGAGTCATTTCATAGAAATTGTGATAATAAAGGAGCTACTATTTGGATAGCAAAAATCCAAGGTTCAACACAATTAATTGGAGGATATAATCCACTGGATTGGAATGGATATGGACCTAAATATACGGCAGATAGTTTTCTATTTAACTTTACAGATGGAAATAATATCTCTACTGCAAAATTAGGTTATGTTAAAAGACCAAATGAGGCTATGTTTTGTTATAATACCCGAGGTCCACATATGGGTTATTTCCTATGTTATGGTAATGACAATTGGAAAAATAACGATAATAATGCTACTTGCTATCCTAATATAGGTATTCCAACTTTTAATTTTACTGTAGGGAATTATGAAGTATTTCAGGTAATTAAAAAGTAGAAAAAATAAAAATGTATAATTTTCTCAACCTTTTCGAATGCAATATATTTACTATAAATTAAAACAATACATTGATTTTATATTATCATATTTCTTTTTTTATTATTTGTTATTATAAAAAATTTAACTTCAAGATTAAGAGTTATAAAAAAAATTACATCACTGTGAAGAATAATTATTATAGGACTCAGAAATATATATATAAGGGTAGCAATTTACTAATAAATTTTCGAATTCTAAAGTATTCTAAAATATTCTTAATACTGATTTGAGAAACATAAGATTTAAACATTTTGACATTTTTAATAAATAACTTGAATGATTATTTTATTATCAACTATATTGCGTACAATTTAAGATTTTTTCATCCATAGTTAGGTCATCAATTTTATCAAAATTTTTACATATAAAAATTTTGTTTTGGCCTAAATTTGGCTACTATATTTATCTATTATATTTTATATAATAAAAAATTTCTGTTGATCAGTAAAGTTTATATAAACAAGTGCTCTTTTTCATGGGGAGTTGGATATCTGATATTAATAAAAAAAAACCTTTTTTTGTTTGTTTAGTTAAAAAAAGTCGCACTTGACTTTTTTATAATAACACTAAGTTTTTTTTTTCATTACTAAAAATGACTTTTTCTTAAAAAAAACTTTTTTTAGATTTTTTAGTTAAAAAAATGTCAGTTGTGACGCATTTTGATAAATAACTTTTTTTTTATTAAAAAATGTCAAGTGCGACATGTTTTAATAAAAAAAAATCCTTTTTTGTTTGTTTAGCTAAAAGCTATGTTGCATCTTTCTAGTTTCTACGATCAATGGTTGCCGAGTTATTCGGAAAAACATTAAACAAAGCACTGTAAAATGCTGAACTTTAACATTTTGTCAAATCCCATGATCATAGAAAGATAAAACCGCCACCATTCGATTCAAAAAAATTAATTTAATTTATAAAACCAAACTTTAATAAATTAAAAGTTTTTTTTGTCAAATTGTGATTGAAAAATTTTTTTTTTTTAAATTTAGTAAATGACCATCAAATTTAAATTCCAAAAACCTACAATTTGAATGTTTAAGACATAAAAGTACTTCAGGCAGCTCTAAATCACAAAATTGTGGTTTAAGAGTTTTGTCCTGTCCTGTCCTATCATGCTTTGTCCTTCTGCCTTGTCCTGTCCTGGACAATATAATAAGATAGGTAATTTTAAAAAAAGTCAAAGCCAACCATCAATTGTTATCATTTCCAATCACGCCAAATTTTTTATATAGTATATTATAGTTTTAGATTCATTCTATAAAATAAAAAAATTTTATTTAATTAGTATCACTAGTTAAAAGAAATATATTAACTTCTTAACGCACTGTATCATTTTTTCTTTTTGTAAAAAAATCGGCTCAGTTTTTATTAAAAAAATTAAAAATCAATTTCTATTTTTGATTTATCACTTTCTTTTTTGTAAAAAAAATTATCTTAAAAAATTAATACCTTTTATTCTTCTTTTTGCAAGAGAAAATTTTGAAAAAAAGATACGATCATCAAAATTTTCAGTCAAAAAATACCGCAGTATAAAGTTTATAAGCGTCAAATATCAAATGGCTTTTGTTATAGGACTTCATATCTTACAGTAAGTTTTATCTTCAAATTTAATCGATAAAATCTCCTTTACACAATGAAAACAATATTAAAAGAAATGAGAAGATAAAATTTTACATTTAGTATATTATTAACTGTTGCACTATGCCACCTTCACTAAATGGATTTTTTTTAGGGATATCTGAAATCAACAAATGGAAAAAACAATGAGATTTTACACTTTAAATACAGCAAATTCTCAGCCATGTTTGACCCAAAAGATCTACCTCAATTAATTAAAACGGTCTTATAGTGTCAAAGTAAAAAAATTGGAATATTGAGAAATATTATTGTTCATACATTAGGTGTTCAGCTATTTAGTTAAAAAGCAATGAAGGATTAAATTTTATAAAGAAACATGTCGGAATTTTTCTCAAAAATAATTAATATTTATAACTTTATCATTTATTATTTTTTTTTTTAAAAAGCACAATATTTTTAAATGTTAACAAGAATACTCATTCATTATACTCAATTTAATACTATTATAAATTTATTATTATATAAATAATTATATTGCTTTTTTTTATTTTTTTTTAATTAATTTACATAGTAAATTTTATCTAATTTTTTTTCTTAAGTTCTTTCAATCTATTTTGAGCATCTATATCTCCTTGTTTTGCAGATTGTTTATACCAAAAAATCGCTTCATCTAAATCCTTTTCAACCCCATTTCCTTTTTCATACATTACAGCAAGATTATATTGAGCTATCATACGTCCCAAATTTGCTGCTTTTTTATATAATTCGGCTGCCTTTTGTTCATCAATACTAACTCCAATCCCACTACAATAGCATCTTCCTAACATTGTTATTCCACTTGAATTTCCTCCTTCAGCCGATTTTTTAAATAATTCAAAAGCTTTTTTAAGATTTTTATCGACACCATCTCCATTTTTATATAAGAGGCCAAGATTATGCGTGGCTGCCAAATGTCCATTATTCGTAGCTTTTTCATACCAATATGCGGCCATTTTTAGATCATTTTTAACACTCTCATAAAATCCACCTAACATAAATTGTCCCATAGCATAATCTTTATTAGCTACTTTTTCATAATATTCAAATCTCAGCCTTTTACTTTTTGTAACTCCATTTCCAAATTCATAACATATTCCAACAAAATATTGTGCCAATATATGATTCAATTCTGATGCACTAATAAATAAACTAAATGCTTTCTCTTTGTCTTTAATTGTTCCAATTCCATAGTAATTAAAATATCCAAACAAAAATATGGATTCTGTATTATTTTGATTATTTAATAATAACCAATTATAAATCTCTTCTGATTTTATTTTATAATTATTAAGATAATCAAGAACATGTTGTTCTACTTTTTCAATTCCTTTATTAACCTCCTTAAAAATAAGATCAACTATTTCATTAGTTATAATGCTTAAATTTTTTTCAGATGAAAGATTTTTTTTAATTTGATCATTCGTAAACATCCCATCTATTTCATTTGTATTTATATTACTAAAATTTTGGATCATTTGAGATAATTCTTCATGTAATGAATCTCTACTATTTGGAGTTGTATTTTCATTTGGTATAGAATTATTTTGATCAGATATATCATTCTGCTTCATACTATTTGAATTTGAAATAAACACTTTTAATCTATTAACAACCTCATGTATGGTTGGTCGTTTACTTGGTTCATTATTCCAACATTCTAGAATTAGTACAGAAATGTATTTGATTAAATAATGATTTCAATAAATAAAACAAACAGTACGTATATTTACCAGTATAAAGATTGGAATAATCATTAGGAGTATTTGGAACAATTATTTCCCTTCGACCCTGTGAAATTTTATACATTAAATTAAAATCATATTTCTCTTCATGGAATGGTGGTTTCCCACTCGATATTTCCCATAACAAAACTCCGATACTGTATATATCACTTTTCTCATTTGATTTTAAATTGTTATCCATTAATATTTTTGGATCAATATAGGGAATCATTCCAAGTAATTTTGATTGTGATTTAGACGTTTCATCAATCCTTTTTGATAATCCAAAGTCCGCCAACTTAATGGAATCCTGATGAACTAACACGTTACAAGAATGCTATTATAATAATTAAGAATGAATTAATTATAATTGTTAAAATCAATATATATTATTAATATTGAAAAATAAAATACCAAGTCCCGGTGAACAATTCCTTTTTCATGTAAACATAGTACAGAACAAGCCAATTGGGATGCCAAATTGTATTTGTTATCCCAAGTAAGTCTATGGAAATTATTCTTTAGATAGTCACGAAGCGTACCACTGTCGGCGTATTCCATTACTAACAAATAATCTTTTGTTGGATTTAATATATTTTCTAATAAAAATAATTATTATTAATTATTGCATAATAAAAAAAAAAAAATTATTTCATTCAACTTTTGATTGTTACAATCATTATGAAATTCTTTTATGATATTCTTACCAGTATTTGATTCATGTTTTGTAATTCCATAAAAGCGAATAATATTATTATGAAAATCTAAATTTCGTTGAAGTTCGATCTTTTAAATGATAAACGAACAATAATTAGGAAAAAAAAAAAAAAATTTTAAAATTTTCAAATTCATAATATTTGATATGTTTTTTATTAATAGATTCTTCAATCCAATTAATCCATTCATCAATATTTTCGTTATTTTGCATTTTTTTTTTTTGTTATTATTTTTTAATTTTAGTATAAGATGTGGTTAAAATCAATAAAAAATGTTAACGGTAAAAAGTCAAAAAAAGAAAAAAAAAAAAAATAATTTTCTATTTATTGATTCGTATAAATTAATATTTTGTGTAACAAATTATGCAGGAAATCCATTAGTTTCATACGGAAGCCGGAAGGTTCCCCCTCAGCAGTATTATTACACAAGCAGATCAGCAAAAAAATTTCTTTTTGCAACAGTTTACCAAAATATTTGGAAAATAAAGATAAATTTAGTAAATGAATGAATTAATTAAGTAATTTACAATATATAATTTAAAAGATATTCAACTAATCGGAATTTTAGGAAAAATCACTCGTATTCGACTGTTGAACTTTTAATCTAGAAGATAATCCTTTACATAGTTTACCGGAAAATATATAATTTGTACAAAAAATATTTTATTTTAGATAACATTATTTTATTGTGACAATATAATTTTAAATTTTAAGAAATTGCAAATAAAAGAAGATATTTTAGAAATAATTAGTAAATCAAGACCTATACGACAATTTATAGATCAGATCTTTGGATCAAAAATTTATTTTAAGTTTAAAAGAATTAAATCAAAGGAAATATGCAGACTTTTCTAAGATAATTAAAAGTGAAACGATTAAAAGTTACAATTTAATTATTCAAGTATCCGAATTCATCTTTCAAAATTATAATAATTTGAAAGGACATGTATATTACTTCTGTCAACCGACTTGGATCAAAATAGTGGGAGCTATGATTATTGAAAATAATAATAATATAGTTATATATGGAAGGCCTATAAAAACCTTAGAAAATAAAAAATGTTTCATAGAACATTTTATACCTGTTAATGACATTGAAGAAAACTATATAGTATTAACAGTATTTAACATGATGTACTATGATGTACTGGATGTCAAAAATCGGAGACATATTTTTAAGATATCAATCTGAAAATATTTGTACGATTTTATTAGAAGCGGATCTATCATTTTTTGTGGACACTACAGATAGACAATATAGTTTAGATTCTAAAGGTAGTAAAAGAAGAAGTAATTCAATAAATTATTCCGGATGTAACAAATATTTTTTTTAGCAAATGATACTCGTAAATTTGAGAAAAATATAAAAAAATAATAATTTTTTTAATATGAAAAAATACGAAAATATGAAAAATGTTATATTTATTGGCTATACTTATTTTGGCCTCTTGTTCCATTGATTTCTGGCTGATGAACCGGGTTCGATTGATCAACATCTGGAATTTTTTGATTTGTAATCATTTGTAATCATCCGGTCACATGAAATCCGAGCTAATTCCAAATCGGATCCAATGGGAATCTAGGGCGAAAATTAGTATAGCCTATATTTATTGCGTCAAAAATAATATACATTTTTAATTGCTTTATTAATTAGTTATGTAATATAACTACTATTTACTGATAATCAATTGTTTTTGACCGATATAATTATATATCAAAACATACGACAAGAACTCTTTCTGACGATCATTCTGCCCAAATTTTTAGCGGAAAGAAAAACGTCTTTTACGAGTATTTTTATTAATAAAACCCAAATAAAAAACCTCAAAAATGGAGTCAGCATACAAATTTACAGAATATAGATATAGGTTTCTAAAAGAAACAAAAAATTTTTCTAGTGTAGACTCAAGAATAACGGTAAAAGGCCAAGAAAGAGCACGAAGAGACTTTAACCTCAGCAAAACAGAACAGAACTTCCTGGAGTCAATACGGAACGACACTGTACGCAGAAAAGAGACTATACAAGAAATAGTTTTAAAGTGTTCAGCAATGTCTTTCAATGTCTATACAGACGAAATAAAAAGACTCTCATGGGAAAATTCAAAGCTGCGAGAAGAACTGCGGAGGAAAGATCACATGATGGATAAGAAAGGCAAGTTGGAGAAAACACAGGAACGAATAATATCGCAGAAAAATGAGCAAATAAGGAAAATTTCACAAGAAGTAGAGAAAACGAGATCAGAGCTAAAAAAGGTTAAGACTGATATCAACAAAGAAATCAATCGGCCGAAGAAATCCAATAAAGGCAGATCGACATCAAATAGGAGAAAACGGGAAGAAATCCTAGAGATACCAGTTTTACCCGAAAATACCAGTAATGATCAGCAGGCCAAGGAGGCACGTGACATATTTTCTACGATATACCAAAATACTGGAGCGAGGATGACGTAAGAACAAATCTGATGAAGATAGGAACGGTATATAGACTGCAAATTCGAGGTCAATATAAATACAAAACCGTGAAGGCAAAAATCGCATTGAACAAAAATTTCGAAAAAACGTTCTTGAATGGATATTTCAGTATTTGTATTAGCAAAAATTTCATCAGATGGTACGACGCGAAACTAGGCTTGAAAGGACGACAGGAGCGGGATCAATGGCAGACTGTGAGAGACCTAACTAACGAGGAAATGGAATCCATAAAGAAGGGAAATACATACGATTTTACGAAGAAACTGCAACAAACTTCCAAGACGGCGTTCATCAAAATTATCAAAATCACGAAAAATTGGAAAGTGATTGGATATTTCAAGAACCTCAAAGAAATGGAAGAAGCAGTGGAGGATTCATGCACAGAAGGAGATATCAATAGAGTTTGGCTAGTGAGAAACAAAAAGACGATATACAAAGATGGTGATGATAAGACAAGGATGAAGAAACCGCAAGAGAAGATAGATCAGGATAAGGTCATAGCTACAGATAATAAAATAAGATTACCTCTACGGCTGGCCAGTGAACCGAAGACACCTATAACACCACCGGAGAGAATTTACAGAGAATTAGGGAACTTCGCTTCGCGAAAAGAAAGCTTACTACATCCATCAAAAGCGGATAAGCCACTAAGGATAAGCAAGACGCCAGACGAAAATGAAGTTGTTGAGATGATCAAAAATTGGAGAGTAGGAGAAGAGAATACTCCAGATCACAATGACACTTCGGAGAAAAAGGGTAACAACTGAAGAAAGACAACGTAGCGCCTGAAGAAGTGGTTGAAATCATAAAAGATTACAGAACATTGAACAAAATCAAATATGTTCAGTATCAAGAATCAACCCACGATGGAAGTTTGGTGGATAAATTGAAGGAAGTGAAAGATATCTTCAATCAAACGTCCAACGAAATGGAATGGGAAAAAATTAACGTCGAGGCCGTAGACGAACTACGCAAGGAGCATGAGATAAAAAACTGGGACGAAGCAAAGAATTGGGCCTTGGAAAAAAACAATTTTTTCCGTTTAGAACAAAAGATTATAAGTTTAGTGGAAAAATCGAAAATATTTCAAGAATATACTACCCTAAATGATAATTTTAAACAAAGATTGGAGAACGAAAATCGCTACCAAGATGAAAAGAAGATCGGCGAAAAAAGACCAATATTAGAATCGCCGAGTAAATGGAGTTACATAGAGGATGAAGAGGAGAGGAACAAGGCTTTTAAGGCATTTTACTTAGAAAAAAGGCAACAAGAGCTGATTCCATCCACTTCCACGATCCAATACAAAGAAGAAGACGAAGAAAACGAGGAAGAAGCAGCAGAAGAAGAAAAACTAGAACTGAAGACATCACCATCAAAGAAGACCAGCGGAAGGAAAAAGACGAAGAAGAAGAACAACAAGAAGTGAAGAGCGAAGGAAAAGATTTATGAGGAGAAATGAATTATATTTTTAATCAAAGTCACGTGATTCACGTTAAAAAGATTCTGATAACAAAATTTAACAACAAAAATATATTTTATTCCGACTCATTCAATGTAGTTTAGAATACTAACTTTTATTTTTTGTAGGTATAAGGGGGATTTGGTGGAATAAACTGTTTGGGTGTGAGACCGTTGGGACTCATCTTTTCGAAGCTGCACAGGGCAGACCTGGACGCTATTACGCATTTCACTTTTAATCCTACACTTTAAAAATTAGAATTCAATAGTTAGGTTTCAAAAATTGAATAGTCTGTTAGTTTTAGTATATTTTATTTTTATCAGGTATTGTATTTATTTTATTATTTTTCTGTAATGCATTTTAGTAGTATAGTTCGGAATACTCTGTTATAGGGTTAACACTGTCTCTTATACACATCTAGATGTGTATAAGAGACAGGGGTTGACATGGTGTATAAACATGTTGGCTCTACGTATCTTGTAATTTAGGAAGTCAATAGACATAATTCTTAATAAAGATGCACTACAGTTTTTTTTTTAAAAAAAAAAAAAAAAAAAAAAAAAAAAATATATATCAAAACATACAATTCGTCAAATTTTTAAGGAAATATCATACATGAATTAATTACAAATTTAATATAAAAAAATATTAAACCAAAATTTCAAATAGATATTAATTGTGAGAATATATCTTTAATTCGATATGTACCACGATGGAATAATATAATTATTGAAAGAAATTTACGAAAATTTATTACATCATATACGAATAATATATATTTTGAAAAATTTTTAAATTTAAGATGAAATAATAAATATAGATAAATATAGGAAATTAGGAAGTAGTTTGGAATATAACATTTGAACATATTAGGAATTATGAAAATATTTTACAAACTTCTTTGTATTTTAATATGTTTTGCATGACTTGAACAAAATGATTATTCGAAGAAATACCTACAATCGAACAACGAAAAAAAGTTCTTATAAACTGTATAAAGATTGGAAATGTCTACTAAGTAATTGAAAAAAGGAAACATTTAATCATTGTACTTGTCACAAAAATAAATGAATATCTTAAAATTTATTAATAAGGTTATAAATATATTATATAATGAAATATTTAAACTATTAATAGTTCTTTTAAAGATGAGATGAAAAAAATTAAATAGTTTTAAATTAAATAGTGATAGTCGATTATTTAATTAAAAGTGGTTTTCAACCGTTTTGGTATTGTTATTAGGGATGGCAACGGTCGGTCATGGTCGGTCATCGGTCGGTCATAACCGGTCAAGAACTTTTGACCGACCGACCGACCGTTTGACCGACCGTTTAACCGATCCTGAAAATGTTTGCGAAACGTAATTTAATAAAAAACGTTTGAAATACTTAATAAAAACATTTTCGCAACGTTTTCTATTAAAATAATTAAAAAAACGTTTGCAAAACATTTTTTTATTAAATTACATTTCGCAAACATTTTCAGGATCGGTTAAACAGTTGGTCAAACAGTCGGTTAACCGGTCGGTCAGACTGGTCAGTCAATGACCAATATCGGTCACGGTCATGACTGGTCATAACCGGTTAATGACCGTGACCGTTGCCATCCCTAATTGTTATCAGACGATTGTCAGTGGTTAGGTAGTGACAGGAAAATAAATAAGGATCGGTTAACAATCGATAAGGTAATATGACGTTGAATAGCAAGTGGTGAGATAAATCGAATATGTGTGCATAAATATTGAACAATAAGTAATAAAGTGTATAACAATAAGAAAACAAAATATGGCGACAGGCCAAAAAATGACAATAATCAATGTGATAAAATGAGATTGAAAACAATTCGGCGGGGTTTATTTATACTCAAATAAAATACAATATTACTGCGCTCTGTAATATTCGTATATTTATCTCTTTATAAAACAAAACCACACAATTTTTAAACCCTTCACAAATCGGTCCTATATACTGCATATCGTTCAAAATTCGGTATAAATTCGCCTATCTAACAAATTCCAATTTTGCCTTCCGCTGATCAAACGATTTGTCCAGTTTAAGCCAGTTCTATCTTAGCCACCCACCTCTAAGCCTCCAATCTCTATCGAACAAATTCTCCATCCGGCCAATTTTGCCTTCCAGTCAAATTTGCTGATCAGACAGTTAAGCCACTTCTATCTTAAGCCACCCACCTCTAAGCCTTCGATCTCTATCTATATGTTAAATAAGCAAAAAAAAAAAATAAACTATATAAAAGAAACTATATAAACTATATATAAAATAAACTATAAATATAAATAAAAATAAAAAAACATCCCGTGACAGTATCATGAAAAAGGAAGAACATTTATTTTTTGGAGTGTTCTTATTACAAACAGTTTTTAAAGAAACAAATATTATATAGGATAATAGAAATAATCTTTATTAAAAAAAAAATTAGGTATTACAAAAAAATGGATAAATTTATAATAGCCTTTTTACGAGAGCACAAGGTTTACTACACAATATATATTTTGGTAAAGATATTTTGGATTTTATATTACAAGTGATCCAGATTAATTTTATTTTTACTTTGTTTTTTTTTTATTTTCGCCTTTAGGTAGATGAGTTTATCTGATAAAAAAAAAAATTAATTTGGTAATTTAGATATAAAAATTCTTTGGACAACTTTGGACAACTTCTTGGCTCAAAAGTTCTACCTAAATTAATTCAAACGGTCCTATAAATTTAACTGCTAACAAAATAGTCAAATTAAAAAATGTTGGAATTTTGGGAAATTATCGTGATATAAAAAATCTTTTTAATAAATAAACTAAAGATTTGTTAATAAGCTATATTTAGTTAAAAAAGCAATAAAGGTATTTTATATACCCCGTAAAAAAGTCGATCTGTTTTTATATTCCATCTCTTTTCCGTAAAAGGCGTATACAAGTCTATATGTATGATTTACATAAATCTATAAATTAGAACTTTTTCCATAAAAAAATTTTTATTGTTTTTACTCCATTGACAATTTCTGTTAATAATAAACAATAATAACAAAAATGCAAAATAATGAAAATATTGATAAATCGATTTATTGGATTGAAGATGCTATCAATAGAAAACATTAAATATTATGAATTTGAAATTTTAAAAATATTCAAGAGATTGGAACTGGATCTTTTGGAAAGGTTTTTTGTGCAAATTGGAAAAATCATGATCATTATTATTTTGCATTGAAATCTTTTTTTAATTTTAACAGTATTACTTTAAAAGAAATTATTAATGAGGTAATTAAAAAAAAATTCGATTATATATTAAATAATTACTTTGTGTACTATTTTTATATTTATTAGGTTTTTAATTTCTTTATTTTTAGTTTAAGCTTTAACGAGAAATAGATTTTAATGATAATATTAATCGCTTTTGTGGAATTACAAAACTTGAATCAGGTATTTGTAAATATTTAAATATCAATAACTAAATATAAATTTACTTATAAATTTTTTTTTAAATAAAGTGATTATTCTTTTCATTAGAAAATAAAATTGAACAAACAAAAAATTATTTATTGATAATGGAATACGCCGATGGTGGATCTCTTCGTGACTATTTAAACAAAAACTTCAAGAGACTTAGTTGGAATATAAATTCAATTTACTTATCAATTAGCTTGTTCCAGAAATTGTTCACCGAGACTTGGTAATTTTTTTTTAATAAATTAATAAAATATTTTATAAATTACATTAATTAAATTTTATTTATTCATTATAATAGCATTCCTGTAATGTATTGGTTCATCGGAACTCCATCAAACTGGCAGATTTTGGATTATCAAAAAGGATCGATAGTATTGGCGTTTTACTTTGGGAAATATCAAGTGGGAAACCACCATTTCATGAAGAGATAAATAAGATTGGTTTAATCTATAACATTTCACAAGGCCGAAGAGAAGAAATTATTCCTGATACTCCTAGCGATTATTCCACTCTGTATACTGGTAAATATGATTTAACGCATTGTTTGTTTTACTTATTAAGTCACTTCATTTTAATCAAATACATTTCTTTAATTATTAGAATGTTGGAATAATGAACCGAGTAAACGACCAACTGTACATGAAGTTGTTAATAGATTAAAAATGTTATTTATTTCAAAGTTTCAAAATTCTAATTACAATAATATTAATACAAGTGAAAGAGATTGGATAATCACAAAAGAACAAATTAATCAAAATATTCCATTTGAAAAAAATTTTAATATTATGATTAATGAATAAGTTGATCTAATTTTTAAGGAAGAAAATAAAGGAAAAGATTGGGGTGTAGTAGAACAAGGTGATTATTTCAACACTCAAATTTATAATTGGTTATCAAATAATCAAAATACTTTAGAATTAATCTTCTTACTTGGATATTTTAATTATTATGGAATTGGAACAATAAAAGATGAAGAAAAAGCTTTTAATTTATTTAAGAGTGTATCAGAAGAGAATCAAATATTAGTACAATATTTTGTTGGAAAATGATATCAATCTGGAATTGGAACTCCAAAGAATGAAATGCAGGCATTATTACATTATAAAAAAGTAGCTAAAAAAGATTGTGCAATGGGACAATTTAATTTAGGTTGGTTTTATGAAACTGGTAAAATTGTTAATAAAATTTTAAAAATGGCTGTGTATTTTTATGAAAAAGCTGCAAATAATGGACATTTGATGGCTATGCATAATCTTGGTCTTTTATATATTAGAGGAGGTGATAATAAAGATTACCGAAAAGCTTTTGAATTATGTAAAAGATCAGCTGAATAAGGGTATTTAAAAGGAATCACTACATACGGATATTGTTATGGTAGTGGAATTGGAATTAATATTGATAAGCAAAAGGCAGCTTAATTGTATCGGGAAGCTGCAAATTTAGGATAAAAGGCAGCACAATATAATCTTGCTTTGAAATATGAAAAAGGAGACGGAGTTAAAAAGATCTATATACAGCAATTTACTGGTATGAAAAATCAGCTAAACAAGAATATCGAAAAGATCAAAATAGATTAGAAGAACTTATAAAATAATAGAATTAGTAACAATTTACTATGTAAATTAAATTATTTATTATGTAATATTAAATTTATAATATTTATAATATTAAATTAATTATAATGAATGCTAATTAAACATTTAAAACTATTATACCTTTTAAAGAAAATAAAAAAATATAATAGTTATTGAGAAAATTAATTATTTTTTTGAGAAAAATCTCTGACACCTTTCTTTATCCCTATAAAAATTTCTGTAAAACTCCGTAAAAATGAGTCTTTCGTGGATCCATTCACGGAAAATGTAAATAATTCGATAAATTCCGTAATATAAGGTTATTAATTCCGGAATATAGGCCTTTTACGGAAAAGAGATGGAATATAAAAAGTTTAGTAAAATTTTCCCTTAAAAAAGTGACGATTACTCAGTAGTTTGAACTGCTGAGTAACGCTAATGAGTGCGATGTTCTTTCAACACAATGATCTCGATAGAAAAAGTACTTATTCAATCTTGCCACGTGTTAAATAAACAATTTATTGCTCTGGACAAACAAAACAATTTTATGATAAAAACTCCTCATATATCTAATTTTTGGTTTAAAATTCTTACTAAATTTAAAAATACTGATAAGCGTAAACATTCAGCGTATAATGTTTATAAGCGCCAAACATCATGCTGGTATCATTATCGATTATAGGACTAGAAGTATAATCGATTGATATTCATATAAATAAGATTAAATGGTTAATTGATCGATTTTGCGTTTATTTATTTTATTTACTTATATCTATTTTAACAGTTTTAACTCGTCATAGTTCCGCCCTTAAAATCCACATTTATAATTTTTAGCATACTATCACATGACATTTGCTTAAATATTGTAAGATAACAAAAAAAAAAATATTAATTTATTTTTTCTAAATTAAAAATTCATTAGTTTACTATATGAGAACGTTTCAATTATGTAATTAGAATATTACCTTATTAGCAGCAAGTGAACATATTAATATATTTTTGAATTTCTTTTAACGAAAAAAATTTTCATTTTCTGTTGTTGACTACTAGCTGTTGATTCCAAGAATGATAACCTTTTAGAAATTTTAGTGGAAGATGCAAGCTTTGATGACCCAGATAAAGATTCTTCAACATTTTCAACATTCCTATAGCCAATTATTTTTTTTAAAAAAAATTGTAAAACAATAAACAAAATTTTTTTTTACAGTATTTTTTATGAAGTCAATCTAACTAAATCTATTTGAGATTAAATTAATTGATCAACCAATTTTTGAAGTACCTAATCAATTAATTGTCTTAATTTGAATCATCACAACATTCTAAATCCTGACACAATATAGTAAACCGTGGCTAAAATACTTATATCTCCTTTACTTCGCACTCATTAATAATCTACAATTTTACGGATAACTGTAATTCAAAATAATTATTTAATAATTTAATAAGTATTATTATTTAAAATGTAATTTAAGCAGTAAATTCATTGTATTACTCAAATTATGTAAATTCTGTGATCAAATCAATATAAATTTAGTGTAAATTCCCATAGTCAAATTAGCAAATGATGCATTTTGTGAAATGAAATTGTGCATTTTCTGAATGCTTTATGAAACATGATATTATATAATTTTAAAAAATTATAGTAATGATGTGAAGGTTTACTCTGTATTATCACCACTTTGGATATAAGTCACATAACTGATAATTTCCAAGTTAGTTTTAACAAAAAAATTAAAAAAGTGATATTCAAAATCTTTGCTACTCTAAGTTATATTATGTGTTAAGAAATTTCTTTGCTTTATGATTTTTGCTTTGCAACAATGAGGCTTGATGATTCATGATTGACATATATTCCAGTTATCGTTAACTGAAGTCAGTTCTTTAGGGCTTACAGGGTAAACAATAATTTGCAAATGGTAAGCAGAAGGATTTAATATCAAGAAAAACTATACAAACCAATCCAAGTAGACGTGAATAGAGTGCAACAAATCAGACATGAATAAGGGATTATATACAAACCAAGAATGAACACTTACGAACACTCTCTGGATCTGTAATAAAGCAGAGCTTTATTTATAATAAATATATTACATATTTTGATATAGCAAAAATAATTAACAATAAATATGTCTAATATAATAACTACAATTAATAAAATAAACATAATAAATAAAACATTTCAGCTATACATGATCTACATGCTATGTCAGCAGACGTGACATTGGTGATATAGATCTACATTGTTCTACAAAATTGACAAGATCATCAATCATATGGACAATTTATTCCAAATGTGCAAAGTTTGTACTTATAATCAATGCTTTTGCGCATGCATTTTGCAATAATATTATTACCATATATACCATATAATAAAAGCATTTAATAATAATAAAAAAAATTATATTACATTTTCCAGTCAGAGAGAATTTTAATATAATTATATAGTAATGGTTCTCAGTAATGATAAAGGTAATAATCATATGTATAATATAAACATTTAATACAATTAGAATTCTAATATTTTTAAACAAATTTATAATATAATAAAACTAGTTTCTGGTAATATTGAATTTAAAGGAAGTAGTACTGAAGAATTTAAAGGAAGTAGCTCTGAGGAATTCAAAGAAAGTGACCCTGAAGAATTTGAAGAAAGAAGTATCAAGGAATCTAAAGGTATATTAAACATGCTAAAATATTAAATTTTTATTTGTAAATACATTTAAATACTAACTATAATTATTTATACCTTACATAATAACAAATTAAACTAACTATATATACAAAAATAATATTAAATAATTTAGCTCGTAAGTTAATAAGTTATCTTATAATTGAATAATAATGGAATTACTTATCATTTTTTTATATTTCATGTAACTAAATAATTTATTTAATGATTAATATAATAATACTATAGTCGGTAAGTTATTGGTTATTTAAAAAATCTTTAATTCTTTACTTTGTTTTATTTATTTTACATAATATAATAATAACTGAATTCTTTATTTAATTAACTATTTAATAATTAATTGTATTACAGATGGTAAGTTACAATATTATATCTGTTTGTTAATATTTTAATATTTTAAATAATTCAACTAATTATATTCTTAATTTAAATAACTAGATTGTAAGTGATACATTTAATTACAGTAAATACTTTTGTATTATATTTATATTTAACTAATAATTAATTAATAATAATACTAGGGTGTAAGTTATAGATGTATATATTT